TGAGACTAAATCGTATCCAGAGCAAAGTTAACTCCATGAATTAAGAAGGTAAATTATTCCACTTGCCTTTTCGGACGAGCTGCTGAACCCAAAAATACTGTGAAAGAAAGGACACATACAGTTTTGAAGATTCATACGTGCTCAGTGGCCAGACTTAACAGTAGCACCTGTAGTTGTCAATCGAGTAAAATCTCTTTAATTCTTGTAAAATAGAAAATTTTCTCTTCAAGATTTTAAAACTTTAAGCTTCCAAATTGGAGCTATCCCTCTCTTTGGGGCTCCTGAACACTTGAGAGATGTTGGTTTTCCTTCTTATGTGGGAGATATTTAAAAATTCTTTCAAGAAAGGTTCTTATAATGATTTTCCATTTGTGTCCTCAGGGCTACAGAGGGGTACTAACCAGTGCTTGCCCAGCCATTGTTTGAGTAACAGGGACCACACGGCAGTGGACAGAGAAGTGGGTAGAATGTGTCCTCTGCTTTGGGCCTGGTCATGAAGAAGCTGCGTGGACCGAGACAAGTTAAATCGTGGAGCTTCCTCTACAGAATGAGGCTGGATGCGGTGCCCTTTAATCTCACCTGGTACACACTGGCAGTGTCTCACAGTACCCGGGTCAAGGGAGACCGAAGGGAGGCCAGACCCAGTCCCACCAATTCTCCGGGGTGCCTTGGGTCCTGGAATTTTATTTAAATGGTCTGAAAACCACTGAACCCCAGGCAGGGCAAAGACTAAAAAACAGCCTTTAAAAATTTTTCTTTTCAAATTAGATGCACCAGCTTTGCAGCTGGGGATAAAGGGATTGTATCCATGCCTGTGAATAAAGGAGATCCCAAGTCCTCTCTCCCTGTTAGGCGGGGTTGGCAGGAACCCCAGAATCACCAGGGCCCAGCGAATGGGGTGAAGTAGACACAGCTAGTGCCAAGTTCCCTTTCCCTGCAGAAGCCAGGGGTCAGCTAATGTTGAAAGCGGTTTTGATTCACCAGAATACAAAGGGCGGGGAGGGAAATGCCTTGGCGCAGAAACCAGGTTGCATTAGGTAAACAGACCTTCCCAGGAGTTCCTAGCAGCCAGTTTGTACCTCGTGGCACCTGGTCCACTCCCCAGGGCGGGAGCCTGCAAAGGATGGCATTACAGCTGATTTCTTCCTTTTCATTGAATGACACTTTGAGCATAAGCCCCTGAGATCTCTGACTAAGAATTCTCAGACCTGTTTCTCACTAAGGAAGCAGACACAGGGATACAACAGGCTAAGCAGGAGTCTCCCCCAGGCCACTCGCTGAGTGCAGGGTGTAGGACTTGATTTGAGTCTGTCCACATTCTCTCAGAAACATGGGGGTTCTCTGGCTCTGCTTGCCAGAGAATCTCTAATGTCTGAGAGCTCGAGTCCATCCTCCTTGGGAAGATCAGCGTTAAGGTGGCAAAAATGAACCTGTCACACTGGAGCTGGCCTAAGGCAGGGAGGAGACCTCGCTCAGCGGAATCGCCTTTGCTGCATCTCTCTCCACCGTGGTCAAGTCCATCCCCGGTAATCTTAGGAAAATTTAAGATAAAAAATTTTTAGGTGTGTTCATTTGGTATCCTGGACAAGCTTTTTAGCTTTGTCATTGGTATTCATTATTGTATTCTGGAATACCTTTCTGAGCAAATAGGGAGGTAGAATCCTCTTGTAAGATTTGAAGAGATACTTGCTTTGCTCTTCAGGCCTTATTTTAAACATTACTGCATTAAAAACAGAAAAACATGGAATCTGTCAACTCCTAGTTCCTAAGGCCCAAGCCCCTCTAGCTGCGTCTTTAGCTCGTGGACAGATTTAGGGAACACCTGCCCCCGTCACGTGAGGCATCAGCGGGAGCAGCTTACCACGTCGTCTTCGGTCCAGGAGCCAATCTCAAAGGAAGGCAGCAGCTGCATGGGAAATATGAATGAAATTTTTAAAAAGCAATATTATCATTGTCTTTTTGGTTTATCCTGTTGTCTAGTTTAGCTCTCAGGTGCTGCTCTGGCTTGTTTCCTCTTGCAGGTGAGGTTGGATAGAAAACGAGTTTCCTGACCTTGAGGGGAATTTTTCCGTGCTCCAAGGATTTTTCCCACAGAAACCAATCAGGTGCATCAACCACTCAGTAACAATTCATTGCACCTTTTCTTTTAGAGGTTTTTTTTTTTTAATTTTAGAGAGAGGAAGGGGTGTGGATATCATTTTGTTGTTCCACTTATTTATGCATTCACTGGTTGATTTTTGTATGTGGTCTGGCCAGGGATCGAACCTGCAACCTTGGTGTATCAGGATGATGCCCTAACCAACTGAATCACCTGGCCAGGGCCTGATTCATTGTACTTGGTGAGCTGCCGTAACCAGACACTATACATCTTGAGATTTTTCTGTCTCGGTACTTGGCACAAGAGTCCTTTTATAGCCCACAATAGGGCTGTGCAGTCAAGGAATTTGTGACATTTGTCAGATTCCAGAGCCTTCCTTGGAATTCTGGCAGCATGAGGATCATTTGATTATTAATGAAAATTCCAAAGCAACCATTTGGTAACCAGACGACTCATGCTTGTTCTGCACAGGAGAATTGCTAAGTGTTTAACTAAATGTTCTGCCTGCTTTATATTTTTAAAGCCAAGTATTAGGGTCCATGGATGAAGAACAAGGGAAAGTGGAACTGTCCTAAGAAGCCCAGGTTACAAATTTGCTCTAAAACAAACAAATAAAAAAACTCCCTCCCTGTGGGGTGTGCAAACATGAAAGGTAACTTTGCAAGAGGTTTTCAGAACCAGAGGGCCAGTCTCTCCAAGGTGCACCCCCAGCCAGAGACTGAATGATAAATGCCTACACAACTTGGAAAAAAAAACAAACCTTGGGTCTCCTGTGACTTGGTGATAGCCATTAATTTTAACTAACTTAACTTGTCAAAATGGTTGAATTGTTCATGAGACAATGCGGCAAAGTGCTATTTAACCTTAATTAAAAATAACATTTTTTGTGGGTAAGCTGGAAAAAAGCTGAACTTGTTTATTTTTAACACTAGTGTAAAAACAAGAGGGTGGGCAAGTTAATCCTTTTAATCTGTAGGCATTTTGAACTCAGACGCCCAAACCCTGCTAGGTAATGCACGTCTCTGCCTTCAATGAGCTTTTAATTGAAATGGGGTAAAACAGGTATGAATTACTCATGGAGGAGTTCAAGGTCACCTTCATCTTGGTTTATACTCAGTGCCTGGCAGAGTGCTTGGCATACATGACCTGGTAAATTTTTGTTGAACAATTTGTTGAATGAATGACATAAAGGGTGCATTTACAAAAACGCTAAATTCTCTGGTAGAGTTCAATGTCTATGGGCTTGCCAGGGAAAAGGAAGGGTTTTGTAGGCTAAGATGGGGGGATGGAAGGCATGGTGGCTCCAGCTGGGCACTGCAGGGCAAGGAGAAGGGCAGTGACTGCAGGCGAGGAGAAGCAACAGGGCAGGACACTGGCAGTGGTGGGGGCGGGTGGAGAAGGGGGTTGGGGCACCTGGGGCATCAGGGCCCCAGAGGAAGTGTGTGTGTGTCTAAGAATAAAGGGAAATTAGGCCGGGGGGTCTGGCAGAAATTTTTTAAAAAAGTCCACTGGTTACAATGACTGTGACTGTGTCAAGTGTGGGTAATAAAGATAGGGCGCAAGGGCAGAACTCACTACCACTCTCCACTACTCTGCTGCCCCCGTGTGCTCCATTCCCTCGGGATGGCCCCTTCCCTCCTCTGAAATACCTGGTGTATGGAGGAATCAGTGGTCACATGCACTCACCTGCTTTAATAATGCAGAAAGGAAAATGATGTGAGGAATAGTATCTAAAACTAAACTCTATCAAAGAAAATACACGACAAGTTTCATTTCTTCACAGGGCACAGAGCAGCTGGGTGCAGCTGCAGAACATGTATGTCATCTCCCTTTCCCATCATGGACACAATTGTGAAGTAAGAACTTGTTCCAGGAATGTTTCCCTGCATCAGGGCTGGCTTTTATAGGGAAGAGAGGGATGTGCAGCATTTTGATTTTTATACCATTCGCAAATGTTGTGCTATACAAAAGTGATAAAGAAGTATTTCTTGAGCCCTGGCTGGTGTAGCTCAGTGGACTGAGTGCCGGCCTGTGAACCAAAGGGTTAGGGTTCAATTCCCAGTCAGGGCACATACCTGAGCTGCAGGCCAGGTCCCCAGTAGGGGGCACACAGGAGGCAACTACACATTGATGTTTCTCTCCTTCTCTTCTCCCTCCCTTCCCCTCTCTAAAAAAATAAATAAAATTAAAAGAGAGAAGTATTTCTTGATTAGAGTAAAGGCTGTCAATGAAACAACTAATCAATACCAACACCTTTGGCTTTCATGTCAAAAGGAGAGTTTTGTCACATTCTGAGGATGGCTCATCAAGATGACGCTAAGGGAAAGGTACTGGGTTCGAGTTGATATTTGCAGTGGCAGGATTTTCTGTTTCGTTTAAATCCTCACCCGAGTATATGTGATATGTTTTTACTGATATGAGAGAGAGAGAGAGAAACACATCAATGGGTTGCCTCCCATAAATGCTCCTACTGGGGACTGAACCTGCAACCACCTTTTGGTGTATGGGACTGAGCTACCTGGCCAGGGCATGCTCGGCAGGCTGCTCGCCAAGACCAGTGAGACAAGGCACTGTTTGAAGACAGTCTGGATTTGGCAGGACAGGGGATAGAGTTAATGACCTCCAGCCACACAGTGACTCACCATTTCCCTTATGTTTTCTGTACCTTGTTAACATATCAGTGTATCTGCTGCAGGGTGTGTCCTAAGCCTTCTGTCTCTCTTTGGAGATAAAAAAAAATCCAACTTGTGACTGCCCCATCACTTTACACATTCATTGTGTACACTCCAACTGGTTTCAGGGGAGAAAAGCTCAGACTCGTGTGCGTGTGTGTGACATCAAAGGATGTTGGGAATCAAATCTAACAAAGATGTGATGTACACAGTAACACATAACAAAGGGATTTACTGTCAAAACGTTTATTGTAAAATGGAGTCTTAAAACAAAGGAAAGCAAAGTTCACATCAAAATGAAATTTATGACACCAACTCGGATTTCTGAGTACACTCTGGACTTCGTGCTGGAATGTCAAATTCCAGCCCTGAAGTTGGGAGCCACACAGCCCTGCCACACAAGTCGTCTTCCATACAAACATTGCACAAGATTTTGGCATAGAACTTGCTCAGGATAACATTGCAATAGAATAATTGAGAAAAAAATTTGTTTAAAAAAACAATAAAGTGATAATGCCGTCATCTATTCAAAGCTCACACTCAAAGAGTATAAATATTTTCTATTATTTAGTACAAAAATTTTAAAACCGTGTAAAAGCAATATGTGTACTGTATTATGTTTGACATTAAAAGATATATTATTCTGCACACGATGTAAAATATTTAATGCAGGTGCTTGAAACTCTACTTTGAAGTAAATAATCACATGCCGGAAATCTCCGCACAGGCAACAGAGCGCAAAGGGAGTGGGAATCAGAGGAAACCCAGCGAATCCTCCAGATTTCTGGTAGACACTCATTTTTCATCACAGCAGAGGTGCATCTAGAGCTGGCGGGCTGTGCTACGGTCGAAAGACAGACCAGAGTCTTCTCTCCGGCAGCGCTTACAATCTAAGCTGGAGACAGTCTTACTCAAAAGCAGCAAAGGTACCTGATTATAGAAACTGTGCTCTGTTATATATGTGGTTTGGTGAGACTGCTAATGTCAAAAGGCTGCCACAGGTGTAGTGTATCCAAAAAACTCAAGTATCAATATTTAATTCAGAATAAGTTTTAAAATGGTCTTTCATGAAATTAGTACCACTCCAATGAAAACTTTAAAAATAAAGTTATGCACCTCACAGTGCTACAGAAGTCATTTTGGATCACTCCCAAATCTTGCCCCCACCCCCAGTCCCTTGATTGTAATGGGGATCAACTTTGGATTCTTCAGCTGGTGTTCATGTCTAACAAATTGCTGCATGTTAAAACTCATGGGCTAAGAACTGGCCTTCAATAGTTCCACAACATTAAAAACAAGAGGGCCTGCAACCTCGTTACACTGGTGACTCACATAAAATATTAAATTGTGACTTTGCTAAGAAAAAAGACTGTCAGGAAAAGGGCCCTTTTAAATGGACCTGGCTACTTTGCAGAACTGTAACCTCAACGACGTTTTTCTTTATTAGTGTGGCATTTGTGTAACAGGAGAGTAAACCAAGCTGTTCCATAAAGTTCCCACCAGCATTGTCACAGGGAAAGAAACTGTTTCCACAGCGGGGGGGTTAAGATAAATGCCACTAACATACAAAAATCAGGTGGGGTAGTTGTAATTCTGTAAGTACATCTTTTGGTTGGGGGAAAAGTTAGACATGGAACTCTGAAACTGCCAAGTTTATCAGCAAGCTTCTCAGTGGAGGAGGGGAAAACGGGTATCTTGGATGGAATTCTTCCTGGAGTGTGACTGTCCCTGGCATTTGGGATGTTACCATTTTGGCCACTGGGCACTAAAAACAGCATGGCCACCACAACAGGCAGAATGATGGCTGGCACTCCCCTCACCCTAAGGTGCCAGCCCTGCCTCTGGTGAGCAGTACTAACAGGGTGCCACCAGATTCCACAGAGTCGCCTTTATGAATAAAGGAAAAGAGCTGAAAGAATAGTGTATTTGCACTTGTGTGGCTCTGACAATTATTACTACACTTTAGAGTTTCAACTATCTCATCGTGAATCTTCAAATTTGTTTCTTTCTCTTCTGTTATAAATGCCCCTTTTTGTAAGTCAAATAATTAGAAATAAGTTCAACAGCAATAAAACTGCTGTTTCTAAAACGGATCTGAAAAGTGAATTAGAAGATGCACAATTAACTTCAGCATTAGACTTTATGCATATGGCCGATAACCATTTCTTTTTAAACTTAATAAAACTAATAATGGAGTCTAAAGTCTTCTAACCTTCACAGAGGGAGACCACATTAAAATTCAGTTTTATGATGCAGGTTTCAGGGATGTTTAACACCTGAGAAAGATACTGATTTGGAACACACAGGAAATAGCCAGGACCATATGGTCACGGCCTGTAGCCTAATTCTCGGTGAAGAGCAATTTCAAGCTTACCACTGACCTCAGTGATCAATCTGCTATAACCTCAATGCTAGCAGTTTCTCGATGGCAGAGTATTGAGTTCTAACCATCTCTGGAATATTGGTGGGAAATGGCAGGAATTGAAAGATGAACAAAGTTTTACCTAATTCATGGTAACTCTGGGTCTGGGTATAGAGTCCTATTACCTTTATCTTTTGGCCCTATTTGACTGGTTTTATTAATGCAGCAAAACTTCATGTATAATCATAACAGATTTATATGTAGAGGAAAAAAGTCAATTTCATTCAGCTCCTATGTTTTAAATTTATTGCTGATTGTCCCTAAGGAGGGGCAAGGCTTATGCCCTTACGTAAAGTGCACAGACCCCAAACTCAGCCCACGGAGATGCCCTCGTCGGGCGGGAGGCCTGTCCTGACCGCACATGGGACAACCGCACACTCCCCATGCACCTGAGCCTCCTTCCCTGCTGCACTCGTCAGCAGGCCCTTCGCAAATGTGTTCAACTACATTACACATGAGCTTTATTTATTGTTGATCTCTGCTCTCTGGCATGTAAGGGCCACAAGTGCAAATGTTTTTGTCCTGCTGTTGCCTAGAATAGTACCTGGCACAGAGAAGGGGCTCGATGAATGTTTGTGGAACGAATGACTTTATCTTTGCCTGGTAAAATGTGCAAGAGGATTAGTTTTCAGTTTATATTTTTATTCTTTGGTATTTTTCCCTCCATTCCTATTTAGCCCTCTTATAGCAAGAGGCTTTTCAACTATTCTCTTTGGCTCTCTCCTTCAGGTTGCTAAGCCATAGTACCCCAGGGCATGCTGGGAAGTCAAGAGTTGAAAACTGTCCCTTAAGCTCCGCTCCCAGCCTTTCTGCTAGAGTGGCTTGCCTTGAGTCAGGGAGCACAGACAGGATGCTTAGGAAGGAGAAGATCGGTGTGTGCCGATCTGTCATCGGCAGTCTACTATGGTGTGTGTTTATCTGTATCTATGTACCAGATTGGGTGAGTGGGGAACCATATTCCAGGTGAGACGCTTACCTCTTCTTTCTGTGTTTACTTAGTCTGTCGGCGGTCACTTCAAAGAGCAACGGAATAAAGCTACAGCTCACATCCTTTCCTGAAAGCGAGCCACTTTTAATTTCATGTCATACTAAACAATTATCACTTGAAGTCAATAGTTTTGTTTTCTAGAAGGTTACTGAAACCACTTATTTTTCAGTGCCTTTTCGCTGACATAATTACAGGAGGTAATATTAACTGACCATTTACCATGGGCCTGGTACTTAAGGGCTTTACATGTATTATTTAATAATAATAATAATAAATAATAATAATAATCCTCACAATCCTCGAAGTAGGTACTATTATCATTCTCATGTTAAGGAGCAAATGGACACACAGAGGTTCAATAGCGTGCCCACGGCGGCACAGTAAGGAGACCCAGGCTCTGAACCACACTGACTTCAGATCGCTCTCTCCATCCCTCCACGTACGCAGGCTGTTCTACATCTTACGCCTACAACGTTTTATTCGTTACTTTTCTCCAAAAAGAGGTGGAACGGTGTACTGAATATTTTGTGTATTTTTCAGCTTTTAATGGGGATCAGAAGCATGCCAGGCTTCAAATTCCAGGAGGCTTTTTACGATCAAATATACTTGGAAATAGTGCTAGATAATATCTATGATGATATCCTTTCTTAAATCTCCCATAAAAAGAACCACTGAAAGCGCTTTGATTTAATAGTCAAATGAATGGCACTGCCCTCTAATTTAGGCTGAGACTTTGTTCTTTCGTCTTTTTTTGATATAACTATAAATGTTTCAGAATTTTTTTTAAAGAAACAGTATTTAATAGTTTAAACAAACTTTAGCAAACATGCAATAACATTGGGAGAATCTCCCTGGCTGCCTGGGTTTTCTGAGTGGCACCGACAACTACTTCTTTGTAACACCGGCATCACTTGGTCAGGGTTCGAGAAACACAATTCTGGAAGGCTGCATTCAATATAAAAAGAACCCTTCCTCTTGCACTTTTGCCTAAGTGACAAAAAGTTATCTTTGTCATTCCTTTTACAATATTTCCTTCTTTAAAAAAATCTGTACATGTGTTTAGAATCCAAGATGATCGGCCCCTCTGGAAAGCAAACACGCATGCTGCAAGGGCAGAGCCTGTATCACACTCACACCGCCTGAAAGTATTCCTGTAAGACCATCCCTTTAAGAAAGGGAAGTATCTCTTTCCCTCTCTATGAAGGAAAAGGTGAGCCTTAGATGGCAGTGTGCTGTTGTCCAGAAGCTTCCAGGGCCAGCACTGGGATGGAAGCCTGTGACATCTGCTGTTTTCAAATTAGACTATTTCTCCTTCCTGCACTATTGAGAACATCTCCCAGGTTTTACTTTAAATAGTTGTGCTATGAAGTATTGAAAATTCTTGGCACTTAGGTATTTCTGAAGAGGTATTTGTTATAACCTTCTTTCATCTCACTTTTCTTATTGTTGGCTTTTGTAGTCACTATCAATTATTTCTGACAGTACAGTGTATTGCCACAAGAAAAAAAAAGTAGCATGTTATAAGAAAATCAAGTGTCAAAGAAGAATTAGGAGTTAAGAGTGCTTACTCAAAATGTAAGTTTTCTTATGCAATTGAATAAACGAAATCAAACCAAATCAAATACAAGCTATCAAGCTATTCATTAAAGAAAAAGTCAGAATGCCATTAGTTAAAAATACTATATTGTATATGGAATCACCAGTTTCTATAATCAGGCACCACATTTGCTGATTCATATACCTTTTTGGCTTGATCCCCTCCCCTGCCCCATTTTTCTGTAAAGCAAAAGCAAATCAAAAGTAAAGTCAGCAAAGAAATGACTGTCATACAAATGTACTTGGCCTACAAATGCCATGCTTGGTTTTCTACCTCCTTACTGGTTTTTGTACAGACTGAGATAATAAGCTTCTTTTGTTTTTCCAAACATTTTCAACTTTATTACTTTGCTTTCTGCTTTCATTCACTATTATCCATGTCATTATCCTCCTCATCACCGTCATCATCAGCATCGTCACCTTCTGACAAGTCAAAATCACTGAACCCCAGGGCCAAGTTCACCTTCTTCCCCTTTCTCTTAGATGTGGTTTTGGAAGAATTCTGCTTGGCTTGCATGTTTATCTGCATCCCAGAATGCAGCACAGCTCCTGCTTTGTTCATTGAGAAGATATCCCCAAAGCCCATCAGCATCATGGCCTGCAGACTCGGGGTCATGCCATGGCCCTCCCCGTTACTTGCTGCTGTGATCTGACATGACATCTCTGCACTGTTTGACTCCTCTGTCTTAGATTCAAAGTAAGACTCCTCAGACATTCTTGCAGCAAGAGGCAAGAGAAGCTATCACAAGGGAAGAGAGGACAGAAGTAAAAAGAGAAATTAGGACCAATTTAAATAAAGGAAACAGATACCACAAAATTAGCGGGCAATGCACAGAGGGTGAATGATTAGGGAAATAAGTGAATATAGGAAATCACATGAGAATTTATTTAACGGCAGATTTGACTCCAGGGTATCTGCCATAATTTATAAATGACAGAATAAATCACAGCCAAAAGTGTGCAAGCCAAATTTCAAATGGGAAGGGTGTTGCAAGTTTTAAGCCCTCCTTTTGCTTAAAACAAAGTAGATTTTAGAACTTTTCTTAATTTTTCCCAATTTCACTTTCATGGAGAAATATTAGTTAATTGTCATATTAAAAAAGAAATTAAGTTGAGATGACATCTCAAGTAAAAATTGAGAAAACTTGTACCAAAGAAGAAAAGCTTAGCGGAAGCGTGCCAACAGCTAGCGGTCCATATGGTTCTAGGGAAGTGAGGTCATTAGTGACGCTTTCAGCCAAATTAGTGTCTGACCCTAAACTGAAATGAGTCTACAATTTACTTGTTTCCATTTATTATTTATTACAGCCAGAGAAGATACAATACTAGTTATTCAGTTTATGAAATAATTTACTTGAGAACAAATTCTAGATCCTGTCTCTAATGTTTATGTTATAAACAAGCACATAAATACATATGAAAATAGAGAGGAGAGGACATTACTATTAATTTAGATTATTACCTTTTTCTCTATTCTCTATGTATGTTTTTTTCTCTTAGCAGAACTTTTTTTTTCTAGGAATTCTCCTTTTCACAGTGGATACAGACATTTATTTCCTGCCTTATGTAATTATTTTGAACAGTAATCCTATTCCTATAAATGTTGGTCATATTCATTTTGGGAGTAAAATTGTTTGGCTCTGAAAAGTGTTATTGCCTTTTTTTTTTTTTAGAAATAAATTAAGGCTTGTATTTTTGATATTGTTTAAATGTGGGTAGGTTTAAGACAAACAATGTACAAATATAAAACAATGGGGTGACCTTTACATTCTGGGTATAAAAATATTTTTTAAGGGACAATTTCCTTTTTTTTAAGTTAAAGTTGGAGGTAAGTTTCAAAAAAATATCCTACTCTATTAAGAAAAGACTGCTGAAGTTGTTAGTTCAATAAGAACATCATCTCATTCAGCTAAAAAAAGTACCAACTATATAAAAGAAAAAATTGCTTTAGATCCTTTAACATTGAAAACAGGATATTATTTTCCTAGTAGTCAAATTTCCAAGCTTCTCAAACTTGTTTTCAATTATAAGATACTCTCAGGAAATTCTTTGCTTATTTATTTTATAATTTAAAGGGTCCTTCCTCATGTTATGTTAAGATCTCAGTAAATGTCTGTCAAACAAGCTTTTACTATTAAAAGAATAGTAATTTGTTTTTACATCAAGCTACAATAATTTTAAAAATAAACACTGTTCATACTTATGTATGGAGAATTCTTCTTACTAAATATTTTTAATTTTTTAATTTCAGAGGGAAATATAGTTGTCCTTCCTTGAAATAAATCCAGTAATGTAATTTTAAATGAAGTATGTCAATGTCAAACTTCTATAATTAAGATGAGGCTACCTATAGGAAATTTAAACTTCCAGCCACTTCCTTTTTAAAAGGTTTACTTTATCTTTCTCTCAGAAACCTTATTGAAAGTCATCTAGACACTGATGTGAGGATAAAAGAAAACACCTATTTATAAAGTACCTGAGCACAAACTTTCTTTCCTTCAGAAATACCAGCTCTAAGCAGAAGAGACATTAAAAGCAAGCCTGTAGAGAAAGAAAATGTAGCCCTCCTAAGTGAAAAATAGGGAAGGAAATCTCAGTGCGATGTGGCTTCATGCTGTCCATTACTAGACGGCAGCCCTCAGTGGTTCAAGTGCCACATACAACCCACTGAGCACTCAGTGTCTATTCTTTATTACACAACTGTGTTTCTAATAATAGCAAGGACGTGTGCAAGGGAGCCCATAATTTCTTAGCAAAACTAATGCCAGTAAATCAAAGAAAGGTTCTAAAGCATACTCTAATAGGTGGCTTAAATTTTTTTTTATTACAATGCTACATCAAGAGTCAAGCCATGCAATGCTTTACAGCTTAAGATTTCAAAGTACTAGCAAAAAAAAAAAGCCTCTCAGAAAGAGCGCCATGCTTCTGCCTCTGCTCAGCTCTGGGGATAGCAGTGCTCCCTCACGCATCCTCAGGGGAATGCTTTCTGAGTCTGCCTGCTGGTATCAGTTCGACCAGAACAGGAGACTGCCCTCCATATCTTTCTTGGGAGCCAAGTTAAATTCACTAAACTTATAAAATGTGCTACTTTTAAATACCCATGATAGTCTTATGTATAGCGATTCAGTTCTTACTTTGGGATTCCCTGAATAACCAAAGTCATTTTTGAAAAAGTTAAATCTAATAATAAACATTTGTCTTCACTATAATTTCCCTTTTTTTGGATATCAGGTTGCTTCTCCACACACACTGGAAAAGGAGGCAAACTATTTTAATTTTTAGACACTGGAAAATATACTTTGCAGTTGGGCATTGGCTGCTTAATGGAGATTAGGGCTTTTAAAAATAGGAAAGCTAGTTGAAGGTCACCAAGTGAAGGGTATTTGAGTATTTTTTTGGTATAATTGCCATAGCAATTATCAATAATAAGCTTAAAATATATAACAAATATACTTTTAATCTTACCCATACTTGTGATTTTAAAATAGAGAAATATGACCCATTAAAAGCCCTGGTGAAACCAATGATAAATTAATACTTCATTTCCAAAATGATAAATCATTTAAAATAGAAAAGAATGCTGAAATTTGATTATACTTTAATATAGCTTGTTAATATATAAGCTCAAGGTAAGGGTATAAATAGTACAATCCTTAAAGAGGATTAACTTCCTCAAATTACAAAGCTTGGAAGAAACCAAGATGTTTCCCAGGTGTAATAAATATTGGAGGCTTGTCCTGAGATAGAAGTCTTTTTCCAATCTTTTACTTCCCATGATGATAATGCTAAACTGAGTAAGGAACATTAATGCTTGTCATTTATTAGCTTATTAAATGTCATTAAAATAGCTTTCTTTTAGAAGAAAAACTTGGTTAAGTTCTGATACATCGAAGACTTGCTTATTAGACAACTAGCTGCCTTGGTGTTACGTTTTAAGTTACTGATGAACTTTGAAGAGTTAAACAGCATTAAGGCACATGTTCTGGGCATCTAGCAGATGGTGTGAAAATAGGATGGATTTTATTTTTTAGTTCTAATATGCGAACACACTGACAGAATAACAGTTCCTAGGGAAAGAGCCAGAAATAGGATAGGCTTTTCTTAGAAATTCCTGGCATTTTGTTAATTGATGTGAGACATGAGCTTGTTCTACTTGAGTGTGAGTGTGGGCCCTTCATAATATACACAGGTGTTAGGCAGGAAGTGCGGAGGTGGCAGTGGGAGGGCAAGCTGCCGTGCTGCCATGCTCAGCCACGTCTTCTAGGTGGGGGGCGGGGGGGGCAGGTTAACCCCACAGGGAACACTCACCGGGGTGTTGGACTGCTCCGTTAGTTTTTGCTCCCACATCTTCAGACGTCTTTCTCGTTCTTTGAGTTCCTGCTCTTTAAAGCTGAGATCACGTTCTAGTTTCTTCAATCTCTCCAGAGTTGCTTCAATTTCACACCTGCACAGAAATAACTGGTTTAAGTCTCGACTTTGCTGGAGAGGTATAGTAAATGCGTAGTGGGTCCACTGGAATGCTGAATCAAGGTAAAAGGTGAAAACTTGTGCTTTTAAACTAGAGAGCAACAGAGAATAACAAACCTTTCATAGCCTTCAAGATCAACGGGTAGTTTCTAGTTTGGAAAAATAAGCTCAAAATACTTTAACAAAGCTTTGATGAGCCCCTGGGTCAGAGCGAAAGCTATAGAGCCAGTGTTCTGGTTTAGACATTTAATAAATGCTTACATTCGTCTAGCTCCTTACACTTTACAACGGACTATTTATGTAACAGCTCATCCTACTCTCGTAACAGTTCCTGATCTCATACATAGAGAGACGGGAAAATGACACTCATGTTCGGTGATCAATACCACACTGTGAGTAAATTCACATTAGCGTGTTCACTGGCTGAGTAGCTCAAACAATTGATTAAGCTGACTGTCTCCTCAGTTGTAAGGGATGACGGTTACCTTACATCAGGGATTCCCAACTTGCCTGACCCTAATAATTACCTGTGCGGCCTGTTAAACAAAAACCCTCAGATTCCTAGGACCCTTCCTTAGAGTTCAAGATTCAGTAGTGCTGGACAGAGCGCAGGAATTTCCATTATTTAATAAAAGATCTAGACAATTTTTACAATCAGGCACATGTAGGAAATCCTGGGCCAGAAGTACTCCAAAGTTCTTTTTAACTGTAATACTTTAAAAGAAAGTTCCCTCCTTTGTCTCTAAGGCTGACCAACCTCACCACTTGGAACAACATGACCAGCTGCAGAAACCTGTCATTTATAGAAACTGAAACTGGTTAAGATGGCTCAGTGCAGACTTTTTTCTCCTGCAGGGCCATCACCATGTTTAAGTCTCAACTCATGCTTTGAGAGCTGGAGGTTCTTTCCCTTGAGTTTCTGAACAGCCCATGAGAAACGCACAGTAATGCAAAAATGAGAGAAAGAAGGAGAAAGAGGGGGAGGGAGGGAAGGGGAGAGAGAGAACGAGAGAGAGAGAGAGAGAGAGAGAGAGAGACATGGAGTGGGGGGAGAACCTGAGGGAAGAAGGGCCGGAGAAGACACGAGGCACAGAGAGAAGGAAGAAGCTGGAAACAGGTGACTTGTGGGTTAGCTGTTGAGTGCAGCCCACAGCTGCAGCCAGGTGCCACTGAGGCAAACCTGCAAGGCACACTGGGCAACGCCCCAGACCTAAGTTAGTGGAAATACGCAAACACAATCTGCCCTTTTTATTTCCAGGGGAAGTCAGAATAAGTGGACAGCTTATTCCAATGCCCCTGAAGATGAGAACGAAATGAAGGGAAACAAAACCAATTCTGGGTATTTGTTGGCAAATCCCAACTCAGGGAACAGCTCTTGAGGTGGGCCTGGATTTGGGCCTGACACTTTACTTCCCTGGTGCCATTTGAAATAATAGAAACAATATGGTAAAGTCACACTATAGTCCCTCAGGAAAGGCACTGAATCAGCTGTCTTCCAGAACTATGACTATGTCATAAAGTCCAAATTTTACCCCTGGTGTTTCAGACATAAATATTATACCCACTCATAAATGTTTGTTTTTAATTTACCAATGGAGGATTGAGGGGGAAAATTACTGTGAAAAAGCTCAGGTTCAACTTTCATTACAAAAGAAAGCAAGAGCCATCTTTAGTCAATGAGAGAGTAGGCGGGTGACACTTGGTGGCCAGAGCAGCAGCTCCTGCCAGGCCGTGCTGACTCTCCTGCTAGGGAGACTGAGCTCATGGATGTTCCGATCAGAGCAAAGGACCAAACATATGTGATCTCACTTGTAATTTAAGGTGAGGATTCATCTGAAGCTCTGGCTCTGGGAGCCCACTGTGATTTGGCGCCCTTTTGGAAAACAGATCCCAACAGCTAGGTCAGCTGGAAACAGAAAAATGAACTCTTGACAGCAAATATTTTCCTCCTTAATCTGTTCCCCTCTGTCTGTTTCTCAGGCCTAGCTCTCAAAGCCACTCTGCTAGACACCCCGGGACCCGATGCAGTGTTTGGGGGGCGCACGCCATGAAAGGGTAGCCCAGACCCTCCAGGGCAGTGCAAAGACAGCCGCCCTGCTTGCTGTCCCCGTTTGGCTGATGCATTGTTTAGCATCCAAATGCATCTGCTGATGCATTTATGTAACTTTCCTGTTGTAAAAAAATATGGTTTAAATGTTTCAATTGATGAAAATTACAGTTTTACTCCTAAACAAAATCTAACCAAGGCTGACTTCGACTAGTATCAATTTTCCAAATGCTAAAAACAGGCAATGAACTATAATTATCTTCTTTTATTAGACAGAAACTTACTTTGAAATAAAAGGTCAATTAGTAAAAAATGAGCTTTATTATATATATTACATGATAAGTATATATTATGCATATTATATTTGGTCTTACATATTAAATTTGTGCTAATATCCAAATGGCAAAGATGACAATTTTTTCATCTTTATTTCTCATTTTTAAGCAGCCATGCCACAGTGAGAGTATTTTGACCACCGAGACAGACCACAACCAACAGTGTTTTGCTGACAGACAGAGCTCTGAGGGCTCCAGCAGGGCACCACACAGCTCACTGAGCGTGGGTTGCTGCAGGGAGTCCCATGGGGGCAAGGACATGGCAACAGGAGGACACAGATCCTGATCTTAATGCTCACCGCTGGTAAGTCAATAGGAGGACAAACAAGATTTCTGTCCTATCATTTACTATGTCAAAATTAAGAACATAATTTAGGTGGTTTTAAATAACCTGGTTTTAAAAAGATTTTCCAGAGTAGTCATTTAATTTTCTAAAACTAGATGTTCCATCTGGTCTTTGTGTAGAGGAAGCTCAACCAGAAAACAATCATTTGCCAGAAACAGCAGAGCAGCACTGGAATCTGACTTCACTGTGGCTTTAATTCACAACACATGCTTTGGACAACACTCACATATTTCAGACACCGAAGCTGGGGAAAAGGAGGAGTTGTCTGAACGTGTTGTCTTTTGAAGTATTCAGATGGTCTGACAAAGCATTTGATGCTTTTCAGTACCTGATCTATTGAGTGAGGTAGCTTTTTTCCTTAATTATAACCTAAAACAAACATGACCTACAATATTTCTCCTCACTGAAAGGAGTCTAGTCAAGTGAACAGTGCTCGCTCAGAAGTGGGTGGCAGGACACTGGCCTCGAGTCCCGGGACAGCACCGCACAGCGTCTGTGCTGCCGCAGGCCCGTGGGATCCACCAGCCTGGTTTCCACCCCAGCCCTGGGCACGGGCTCGGGCAGGTCACCCGACATGTCCAGGCCTTGGTCTTGGCCTCTGTGGTGTTAGGGTTGCTGTGTGGATTAAGAATGACAATCCAAACAAAGTATAAGTATCTGGTAAGAATGTAATACATGACAGCTATGTTTATTACTGTTATTCTAATTAATATTGTTATCACTCTCCAGGTTTTTAACCAAGGCCCAAGCTCAGATAAAACAGCTCTGCTGGTATTCACACAGCAGTTCAGTGCTTCAGGCAAAGGTCTGCGTCCCCTCGGTTCTCAGGATCAGCTAGTTCCTGAAAGAAAGCTGATGAGGCCACCCATGGGCAACTCTTCACCTTTTACTAAAACACATCAGTGTTGTACCAATTTTATTCCCCTCATCTTTCCATCTTGAAGCATTTAAAACATTCAATTTATTATTCAACCCACCCAGGTTTATTGTGGAAAATAAAGATATACAAATACAAGACATTCTCCCATAATCTCATCACCCAATGATTACAATAACCTTTTGATACTCTTCTCTATGTGCGCGCGCGCGCACACACACACACACACACACACACACACACACAAATACATGTTTCTTTTACAAAAATGGAATCATTCTAAACATACTGGACTGTAGCCTCCATTTAAAAAAATTGATCAGATCTCTAGTATCATGAGTTGTTCCATACTATTCTGTGAAAGGAGATATCATAATTTTTAAAAACCACAGAAATCCCCCAAATCTCCTTTGATTGCTACTTCCTGGTTTAGAATTCTAACGAAGGGCATGTCATCTATTCTCGTACAATCTCCTCACTCACGTGTTTAGGAATGCCTCTTTTATGAAGGTAGTATTTTCTCACCGGCAATGTCCGAGAAAATTTATAACCGGGTTATTTTCATAATATAAATTTTTGCCAATCTGTCAAATGAATTACATTCCCTTTCAATATTTGATTGCTGAATGAGGTTGCATGTATTTCAGGTGTTTCTTGGCCCCTGGGTTTCTCCTTTTGTGAAATGCTTTTTCCCATTCTTTAGTGTGATATTTTCATTAAAATGTTAGTTTAATGACAGTAACTGTCTATCACAGAGGTTTTCAAAGTGCAGTCTGGGGACCCATGAGAGCTTTTCAACGAATCTGAGAGGTGAAACGGGTTTTCAGAGTAACATGAAGATATGATGTGCCTTTTCTGCCCTCACTCTCTCATGAGTGTGCTTCCCGGAGACGTCATGCGTGACGCGTGAGAGGGCCACAGGTGGGATGCAGAAGCGGGATTTACCATGATCTTTTAAACAAATCAATAAATACATATGTACATTTTTCCCAGTTCTAGTTTTGATAAGTACTGACAGATGTAACATTGAAACAAATTCTTCAGAGTGTAAGGAAGTCCTGAGACGAAAAACTTTTAGAACTGCTGATCTATTGTACGGTATGTCATTTGTTCTGAAATTCTATTTATGAAGGAGCGCATTGCTCTTGCTCATGTGGAGGCTTTACATTTTTATACAGGAAACTTACCAACTTTCCCCTTCTTTTCTAATTTTGTTGATACACTTCAAAAGACTCCCACCTCAAGGGTATCAGTAGTAGGATTAAAATCCTCCAAATCCTTTGGATAAGAGATCAAAGAGCATTTCCTCAGGGAACCCTTTAATTATATCCTCAACTGGATTAGATTTCACAGTTATATCCTCTCAGATGTCCAGTTCTTCACTGACATAATACTTTTCGAAATAGTAAATAAGGTCATTATTTGTGTACTTATATTTAGCAGTTTAACCCCAGGCCGTCTGTGTGCATCGGGACTGCCCTGCTCATCGCCGAACCCCAACACCTGGAAGGGCACCGTGGCCCCAGCAGACCTTCAATGGATATCTGAATGAACTTGGGAGAATATATTTGGCATGACAAAGTAACTTGCGTATTTATATTCTCATGGGTAATACCATATTGTCTTTTTATGTTATTAGCACCATGGCATTCCCTTCCCCAAATATTTATTGAGCAACTGCTATGGTCAAGGCACATTCTAGATGCTGCAGGTACAATGATGAACAGAAGAGGTGATCTGACCCCGTCCCATTTTAGCCTATGAGACACACGCTAAACAAACTGTAGAATTACTTATTGATTCCAAAAGCAGTAGTGGGCTATGGAGGAGATGCTGCCCAAGCATATGAGGTGGAACCTCTTCTAGTCTGGGGCCAGGAAACTCTTCCTTAAAGACATGTTATTTTTTTACTTGCTCTCTGGCATTAGGGGTGGTGTTTTAAACAGGGATGGGTTTTATTTACTTATTTTTTTAAGTTACATTTTTATTGAAGTATAACATACGTACAGAATGTGTACATATGCAAAGAGCACAATTTGATAAATTTTTACTAAGTGAACACACCTATATAACCAGCACCCAGATGAAGAAACAGATGACCAGCTCTCAGAAGCCCCCTAGTGGCCTTGTCAGCTGACCCCTAACACTGTACAGATAATGACACCTTGACTTCTGACACCTTAACTTCTGACATCACATCAGGAATGTAATTTTTAGTGGCTTTGCAATAGTTTATGGATAAACCAGTATTTTATGTAACCATTCCCCATTTTTCTAATGTTGAATCTTGAAGATGCTTTTTATTTTTAACCATGAAACCCTTTGGGGATATATCTTTGTCCACATTGCTTCTTCCTTAGAACAGTTTCCTAAAAATGCAATTTCTAGGGCAAATAGCAGGAAAATTTTAAAGGCTCCCGATTCAAATGCTTGCACCAATTCACAGTTCTGCTGGCAGTGTGTGCGAGAGCCCGCCTCCCCGTCCTCACACTGTGGGGAGTGTCAGTACTTTTTTGGCCTTTGCCAATTCGACAGGTAAAATAACATGATTAACTTGGTATACTTTGCATGCTCTGAACAGGAGTAAATTTTAAACAGAACAAACTGCATCTTGTAAAAACCGAGTGAGGGAGAAATATGCATCTGTCGAGGGACAGAGAGGCAGAATTAAGGACTGATATTCTTAAGATGTGGTTGCTGAGGCCAGAGTAAAGTGGGGCTCATGAGACTTGCTAAGTATTTTTGGCTTCTGTCCTAGAGGAATGGGAACTCCTTATACGGATCTGAAGGGGGAGTGATCTGTTTAGATTTGTGCTGAACTCCTATTGTAGGAAACAAAGATTGCTTACATGTTTTGCTTTGTTTATTATTTCAGCCCAGAACAAAGCCCTCATACCTAGACTAAAGCAGACAGTACTACCTTTTGTATCCCTACATAAAAATTTATTTAACTCACTAGACTTTGACAGAGATTTCAAAAGAATAAAAATAAGTGAAGTTATTGTAAAACACCAACCAAATAGCTCAAAGACATGTCTAACAAGAGGAGAAAACAACTCCGTCATTTTTCAAAGTGCGTGCAGTATTCATTTGGCATCAGCAGGCGGCGCAAGGCATCACATTTCCGCCAAGGCCCTCAGGAGCAGAGATGCGGTTACTTAAATCTCTGCTGAGTCAGGGAGGAATAATGTCAGCTCCCAAGCATGCTATTTATATTCGTGCATCATGTGACCTGGCTCAAATGTCTCATCCCAAGCTTATTTCTTCCACTCACAAGATACAATTTTCTCATTACTAAACTTGTTTTACACTTGACACAATTTAACAGGATTTATAACATCAAAAGTTTTCTTTTAAAAGTGCTTTTATAGCCTCTCTACCTCCTCCATCAACATACGGTGCTCTCTGCAAATTTCCAGGCAAACAGTATTTTTATTTCTCACTGGACAGAGGCCAAAGCTTCCCGACACACAGAGTACACAGAGCAATGTCTGGTAACTGTCTTTGGTCTCAAGATATGACTTCAGTAATCTTCCCAAATACTCATACCATGTGATAAGGCAACAGGCTTAGAGGAACACTCTTTTTTGCTAACCTATGAAATGGAGGAATTATTAGATCTCCAAAAATTTTTAACACAAAAACAAAAACAAAACAAAACAAAACAAAACCAAAAGCCCCAAGTTCTAGGCTATACTTAGAAATCGGGACCGTCACCAAGTTTTCGGGTTCTCTTCTTCGCTTAGGCTAGTCACAGTCCTGCAAAGCCCGAGGACGTGACTACTGAGCAAGGCCTGCCTACCTCCACTCGGCCTTGTTGTGCAGGAATGAGTTACACTGGTCAGGGAGGTTGGTGTCATTTGACATGGAGTCCAGAATTGAAATGATTTGCTTGAAAGATGGCCGTTTCTGAAGGAGAGAAAATAAACAGTCATTTGTTAGAAACTGTGCCAGTAGATCTTCAAGAGAAAAATCTACAAGCACAGTAATAAGCCCAACTCACCATAAAAAAACAAAATATGATATAATGTCCTGATCTAGTTATTTTACAGCCATCAGACCCCCGAGGTTTAGGGAGCTGTATTCCTCATTTTCAGTCAATTAATTATTCCTAAGAATAGTCTCATGTCATTTTTCTATAGTGTGTCCTAAGGCTGGAATCAGTACAATTTTTCTCCAGGTAAGGAAATGTACTAATTCTCCTTTTTGGGTATGACATTTAAGGACTCCTAAAAGGCAAAAGTTGAGTCCTTTAAAAATCTATCTATGTGATAAAGCAAGTATGTAAAAGTTAATGGTAGAGTCTAGGTGGTAGGTATTCCAGTGTCCACTGTAAAATTCTTTCAACTTTTCTGGATGTTTGAAAATTTTTATAATACAATGTTGCATAAAAGATCTACTTACCCATTTACCAGAACTAACAAAATTTCCTAAACCAGTTGCTGAGAAAAGTTGCCCAATTTTAAAGCCATCATAACTTCATTGTTCTCAATGAAGTTATGAAGTTATTTATTTCGTTTTTTAACTAACTTTGTTGCTGGGAAATGCTAAGGTACTTCCTGTTTACGAGGAATTGAAAAAGCAGTGGCCAGGTGTATTCCTTTAGCTAGCAGAAACTACACTAGTTTATCTCTTTAGACTTGAGCCAAGGTTGAGAGAAAAGGTTAAAACAAAAATGGAGAAAGATAATAAAAGGATGATGCACATTCTCTCTTCATGCCTCATAATTATACCATTTCTGAATAAATTACAGTTGCAGCAATTAAAACATGCATTTTAATTTAGGAGCACAAACACAAGAAGGAACAATGTTGAAGTGGCTTGCTCTCAGGACTTGAATGCTTACTACATTAAGAAAGGCATTTTTTGTATTTCTCAGGAGTATAAAACTGAGATATTTATTCTCAGTTGTTTTTTCCCCAAGTTCCTTAAAAGGGTGTGTGTGTATGTGCTTTATTTTTTAAAAGAGGGCAAAAGTAGCAAAATGTCACTGATGTGCACCAAACCTTCTAATAAGCAAAAAGAAAAATGTTTTAAGTAGGAAATTTGAAAAATATTGTTTGTCTTCTTTTGACATTGTCTCATTTTAATTTCCACCGCTATGTGTTGGGTTGCAAAAGTAAAAATATTCTAATTATTTGTACAGGAACTGATTATATAAGAAACATAGGAATTTCATTTTGCATTAAAAAGCTGCAGAAGCAATTAATAAAATTTTAAAGAATAATATTTTTTCTACATAATCATTCTTGAAATAAGGTGAAATTCACTTGTAATTGGATGACAGATACCCCTAGGAAAAAAATCTTGCTTTTACCTTTAGGATATGCTCTCTAATAGAAACTATTGAAGTGAACATTTAAAGAAGTAACACAATGCAGAATTTCATGATAGTAATGTTTTATGTGTATTCTGATTACAGAATACAAAATCTGGTCTAAGAACTTACGTAAGTTCCTCTGAAGGAACTTAGTTTCCTCTTAGGTATTATGCAGACTTTGCTTACTTAAAAATCACAAGGACCACTTATTAAGCATCTGCACACAATATTTCTTTGGTTATCTTCATTTTATAGATAAGGAAAATCAGTCTCAGAAAAGTATAAATTGCCCAGTACCACACACAAAGCAAATCACAAAACCAGGGACTACACACTTAAACCCTTCAAAACATTTTATTATGTGAGGGTAAAATAGTACTTCCTTTCAAATTCACAGCTTTAACTATTAATTTTTTCCTTATTCAGAAATGTCACTTTAGAACTTGAACCAACACCTACCTTTAGTTCCTTCTTTTCTTTTTTAAAAACAAGATTTTACTTACTTATTTTCAGAGAAAGGAAGGAATGGAGAAAGAGAGGGACAGAAACATCGATGTGCAAGAGAAACATCCATCAATTGCCTCTCACCGCCTCCACCCCCGCCCCCACCACTGGGGACCTGTTCCACAGCCCAGGCATGTGCCCTGAGTGGGAATCAAACTGGCAGCCTTTCGTTTTGCGGGATGTTGCCCAACCCACTGAGCCATTCCAGTCAGGGCTACTTTCTTCGTTTCTTCAATAAAATATTTTGAGCACCTGGGGTAAGCCACTGGAATGACTTGAGATTTTACCTAATACCAGCTTTCTCTTGTATACATGTTCTTCTCATCATTGCAAAAGAGTATTTTTATAGCTGAATATTTTAATCTATGAGTTAAAATTCTAAAGTCTAAAGACTGAAAAAATTATTTTAACCAACCACTGTGTGTGCACAGGTTTGGCACGTTCCGGTTGAAGTGTGATATGCTTCTAGCCTGAGAACTAAAGTGTGCCTCTCCGGACATAAACCTTGGCTGGCTACTTCAGCCCACTACAAATCGGGCATCTACCTACTCAGTTTTTGTAAGGTGCTCCACAGGGAGAAAGACATCGAAACTAGCTCTATTCTCTTATAGAGCCTGCAGTAAATTTAGGAAGAAAAGATATTTTAAAAAATACAACAGTACGAGGCAAGGCACTAGCTGAGACTGTGGTTTAGAAAAAGGAACGCTAATCATGAGCTGGGGCAAACAGAATAACCGGGGAAGCCCGATGACGAAGTGACCAGGGGAGAAAAGGAGAGAAGGGAGGGCATGTTTGGGGAATGCAGGTTTGCTCCTCCGTTGGAAGGCGTGTCTAGAGAAGCTCAGCAACGAGGGCTGCGAGGGTGTGCTGCGGCTGGGTGTACAAGCAGTCAAATACAGTGGACGTGTATCAGTTTCATCAGGATGAAATGTCATGAATTTAGGGAATAAAAATCAATCAAACTTTATACTTCACACGGCTAGAACACTAGAGTCCTTTGATCCTAAGGAAGTTCAGCTTCGTACACGTTAAAGACATGCCAACTTCATGGCACCAACCCTGGGCCTAATGTCCTTGTGGTGTTTACACTATCAGTTAATTAATACACCATAAATGTACATTCTTAGAATTTTAATTAAGGTACCACAGAGTTTCTGATTAAGAAATTCAAAACCTGCTTTGCATACTGAAATATAATTACAATTACAGAGATCTAGTTGCACTAATCTAATTCAATGCAAATAATTTCGGGTGAAATTTCTATGTAAATGGCAGAGAGGAAAATGCTGACGAAATTACTGTATATGCCCTAATGGACATACAACTGGTAGGAAGAATATGAAAAGGGTGGCATGATACTGTTTTAACAGTATAAAATAAATGTTCTAGTAAAAGCTTTCGAACAGCCACTTGCGAGTTTCTACCGGATGAATCACAAAGGGCAGCATTTCTTTCAATGCTTAAAAATCCCCATGTTCTGCAAAACCACACTCTTAAAGAACAGGGCCAAAACAGGGACAGGGCTGCCCACTCAAAACTTATGCAACTGTGTCATAAAATACTAATAAAAACAATAGCTACCTGAATAAAAATATTACTAACACAGTTTAAAAATTTTAATAAAAACAATACTAAGTAAACACAGGTCTCTTTTAAAAAGGGTGAAGGCAATTTGATGAAAAGAAGTAAAAGCAAAGATTGAGGCTGTTGGTTATGAAAGGAAAGGCCAAAGGCTCAAGGCTGGAGAGAACCAGGAGCAAACCCTTCCAAGGCAAAGCCCTGGGCAGCCCCGCCAACAGGGAGCACGTGGGACGGAGGGGCCTAGCTTGCTGCCCTGTTGGCTACACTGCTGTACTTGATGCTCAGCTGTTCTCACTTGGTGGTGCGGAACAACGTGCGGGAAACTTTATATATGATTCATTGGGAATTCTCAGTTACACTAACACAATTCCCATTCTCACCTATTGTTCATGAGTTATTCCCACTTGAGAGACATGTAGAAGAAACTATATGTTATTGTTCATTCTTCTTGAGAGTCAGACCAGAACTGATTAAGGTCAGACTGGAGCTGATTAAATTTAAAAAAATTCCATTCTGAAGTTTTTATTTTTAGATCTCTATTTAAAAGATCCAGTTGCAATATATCTATTTCTGTGAAAAAACTGGGCAAATTGAAACTATAAAATTTTAGTTTGTATCTCGAGTATAATTCTCTTATTGTAATGTCTAATCTGTGAGAATCTTTATTTTTAACTTATTATGGAAAATCTCAAACATACACAATGGTAGAAAGAACAATATAATGAACCTCCATAAACCTATAACTCAGCTTCAAGAATTACCATGGCTAACCTTATTTCATTTATACCATCATCCATTTCCCTTTATTTTGATGCAAATCCAAGACTACCTTATCACTTTATCTATGAATATTTCCGTATGTACGCAAGAGTTTGTTAAAATGATCTTTGTAGGGAAAGGAAATGGGCCATTCATGCTCAAATGTGATAACCACATGAAAGCCTAATTTTTGGAATTTCTCCAACTCTATTGTGGTAGCCTAAAAAACATCACTGAAACTGGACAGGAAGTTTGTGTCAAAAATCTCTTGAAGTGCTGCTTCTGGTCTTTGGTTAGAAAGGCAATAGAGCATAGTGGTTAAGAGCAGGGACTTCCGTCAGATGGCTCAGGTTCATGTCCAGCCCCACAACTTAGCAGCAGTGTGGCCTTGAGCTCATTACTTAACCTCTTTGTGCCTTGATTCTCCATCTGTGCAATGAGGATCCTGACAGTACCTATTTCACAGAGCTATTCTGAGGAGTAAACGAGTTAATATACATAAGGTATTTGGAACGGTGCCTGACATATAAAAAGCACTGTAGGCTAGCCTTCTTTATAACATGAAGGTACAATAGTTATTATCAAAGATTAAAAAGAGCCCTGGCTGGCGTAGCTCAGTGGATTGAGCGCGGGCTGCAAACCAAAGCATTGCAGGTTCGATTCCTAGTCAGGGCACATGCCTGGGTTGCAGGCCATTGTCCCTAGCAACCGCACATTGATGTTCCCCTCTCTCTCTCTCTCTCTCTCCCTTCCCTCTCTAAAAATAAATAAATAAAATCTTAAAAAAAAGATTAAAAAGAAACAAATTTCTCTTTATTGAGTCAAAAATGTTGCAGTGCTATAAGAAAGAGCCAATATTATTGAGTTTCTAGGATCAAGATGAGCAGATGTCAACAAAAAGTCTCAATAGTCAACCTAGACAACAGGAGTGGCAGTCTGGCTTTGTGCTCTAACATGACTGTGTTATTACCCCATTCTGAAAATTCAAAGCCCAACAAACGAGTGAAATTTCAGAATTCTGAACAACAACAGCAACAAAAAATATATACATACCTTGGCATCAGCTTCCCAACACTGGTGTAATAGTTCAGCAAAACTTCTAGGGCAACTGCTTGGAATGGTTAATCTCTACAACACAGAAAGTATAAACAAAATAAAATGTAAAGATGTACTTATTAAGGAAAGTAAATACTAATTAAAGGGTCACAAAGGAAGGCATTAAATTTAAATCTTCCATTAATTAATATATGGCAGGTGAGAGTTTAGGGTTAGATTCATAATATCTAATCTCCAAAGACATACTTTTTAAAAAAATTGTATTTTATTGATTATGATATTACAGTTGTCTCAATTTCTCCCCTTTTGCCCTCCTCAACCCAGAACTCCCCACTCCCTCCAGCAATCCCCACAACATTGATTATATCCATGGGTCATACATATAAGTTCTTTGGCTATTCCATTTCCCATACTGTACTTCACAGCTCCATGGCTTTCTGTAACTACCAATTTGTACTTCTTTTAAAAAAATATTTATTTATTTATTTATTGTTAGAGAGAGGGAAAGGGAAGGAGAAAATGAGGGAAAGAAACATTAGCGTGTGGTTGCCTCTTGCACATCCCCTACTGGGGACCTGACCCACAACCCAGGCATGTGCCCTGACTGGGCATCAAACTGGTGACCCTTTTGTTCACAGGCCGGCACTCAATCCACTGAGCAACACCAGCCAGGGTTCAATTTGTACTTCTTAATCCCCTTACTTCATCACCCATTCCCCTATACCCTATACTCCCCACCCTCTGGCACCCATCAAAATGATCTCCATATACATAAATCTGCCTCTGTTCTTCTTGTTTGCTATGTTTGTTTTTTGAATTCAGTCGTTGACAGATATGTATTTATTGCCATTTTATTGTTCATAGTTTTGATTTTTTTCTTAAGTTCTTTTAACATTTCATATAACAATGGACTCCTTTCCTTTTTTTCTTGTTTTGGGAGCTCTTTATCTGCCCTTTGATTCTAAATGATAGCTTTGCTGGGTAAAGCAATCTTGGCTATAGGTCTTGCTTTTCATGACTTTGAATATGGCTTGCCAATCCTTTCTAGCCTACAAAGCTTTTTTTGAGAAATCAGTTGAGAGTCTTATGGGAACTCCCCTGTAGGTAACTAACTGTTTTTCTCTTGCTGCTTTTATGCTTTTAAGATTCTCTCTTTATCTTTAACCTTTGGCATTTTAATTATGATGTACCTTTGAGTAGGCCTCTTTGCTTGGGACTCTGTGCTTCCTGGACTTGCATGTCTATTTCCTTCACCAAATTAGAGATTTCTTTCATTATTTTTTCTAATAGATTTCTAGTTTCTTACTCTTTCTCTTCTCCTTCTGGAACCCCTATGATATGAGTGTTGGAACACTTGAAGTTGTCCCAACTTCAAGCTGATTATACTCTCCTTGTTTTTTTGGATTCTTTTTTCTTCTTGTTTTCTGATTGGCTGTTTTTTTTTTGCTTCCTTATGTTCCCAATTGTTGCTTCGATTCTTGGCTTTACTGGTGTTTTCCTGTAAATTGCTTTTTATTTCAATTAATATATCCTTCATTTCTGACTGAATCTTTTTTATGCTGTTGAGGTCCTCACTAAGTTCCTTCAGCATCCTTATAACCAGTGTTTTGAACTCTGCATTTGATAGATTGCTTATCTCCATTTCATTTAGTTCTTTTTCTGGAGTTTTAATCTGTTTTTTCATTTGGGCCACGTTTCTTTGTCTCCTCATTTTGGCTGCCTCCCTGTGTTTGTTTCTATGTGTTACGTAGCTGCTATGATACCCTGTCTTAGTAGCCTGGCCTAATGTAGTAAGTGTCTTGTAGTGTCCAGTGGCACAGCCTCCCCTATCACCCAAGCTGCAAACTCAAGGTGTGCCCTTCATGTGGGCTGAATATACCCTCCTCTTGTAGTTGAGCTTTGGTTGCTGTTGGCAGGTCAGTGAGAGGGATTTACCCAGGCCAATCAGCTGCAAGGACTAGTTGTGACTACTGACCACCAACCTCTGTCCTCTGTAGGGGATCAACTGAGCGGGGGCAGGGTGGTGGTGCTCCAATGTGGTCTGAGGCTGTCCACTAGGTATGCAGGCTCTGGAGTTTCCTGCGTGGTTCAAGCCAAGGTTAGCCTTCTACCTGTGTTTTGCCTGGGGTCACCCTGCCTGAGCTATAAAGCAATCTGAGATGGCTGCTACTTGTGCTGGGCTTGGAGATTCCCAGGCAAAGCCAAGCCTGTGAATCTAGGCTGGCTGCTGCTAGTGCTTGGCCTGGGGGCACTCAGCAACAGGTACAGGGGTTGGGGGCTCACTGAAGCTGGCTGTTGCTTGAGAGAATTTAGGAAGTTGTAAAGCATGAGCCAAGACCAGCCATTCATAAGGAAAAGTCTCTGTAAACAGCTTGGGTGGGCCCATAGGTTGGGTGGGACATAGTCTAAGGGGATCTTCAGGGAGGGGCAAACCATGTTAGCCAGGTTGATAGAATCTCAGATATGGCACTTGCCTGCCAGCTCTGTGATTCTGTGGGGGGAGGGTTCAGAAGAGGGACAATGGCCTCTGCCCACCTTTCTATCTGAAAGAAAACTGTCCTCCAGCTCCTGCCTTGATGCCAGACACTTCAGTTCCTCCCTGTGTTTTACTGGTGCCTTTCAAGCCACTACCCTGGTGCTGGAGCTCAGAGGGAGTGAATCTGAGTAAGTCTGTGTGTGGGTTAAGGGGAACTGCTTGAGATTCCATTAGTTTCTTCCACTGACTCAATCTCTGCTGGTTTTGCAGTCAGAAGTTATGGGGGCTTATCTTCCTGGCACTGGACCCCTGGGCTGGGTGACCTGGTGTGGGGCTGGGACTCCTCACTCCTGAGATATCCCTCCCGAATTTTTATCCACCACATGTGGATGTGGAACCAGCCCATTCCACATCTCCGCACCTCCTACCAGTCTGGATGAATGTGATTTCTTTAATTCTGTAGTTGTCAAACTTCCATTCAACTTGATTTCTGATGGTTTCTGATGTTCTATATTTTAGTTGTAATTTTGATGTGGCTGTGCAAGGGAGTGAGCTGTGTTTATCTGTGCTGCCATCTTGACCAGAATTCTGTGTTACTATTGACACTTATACCTCTAAAGAGGAATCACAGTGGATGGAGAATCAGGTTCAGCACAACAAATACTTTACATATAGAATCAAGTCCAAAAAAAAAAAACAAACTATGGTAGGAAGGGGACAAGTTTGAACTTAAATACAAAGTCTAAAATCATAAATCTATTACAGCACTGTTTATAGACAATATTGCAGCTCAGAATTAGTTCAGTTTTGGCAGCAGACTGACAACTGTGAGAATATAACATCTTCATTACAGACAACCACGGAGATAATTTCAATGACACATGCCTTCTGCCACTGGTAAACAGGACATTCTGAATGTATGGTTCATTATGGCTCAGTTTTGGTCAAACTCATGAACTGTAAGGACCTGATACAACAAAGATTATAATGTAAGAGGCAGTCCTGTCCTAACATTCTACAATAGTATTTCTCATAGAACATGTAATGCTCATAGAGGCCATTTAGAAATCTATGGAGGCATTTTTGTTTGTTTTAAAACTGGTAGGTTGTATCTGGAGCAGGTCAAGAATGCCAGCCTTCAATATATGGTCAAGTCCTCTATGAAGAACTCTCTTATATTCCATTAAACTCCAAAAATCCCATGTGCATTCTTGTAAGTCCAATAAGCAAGGAATGAGGTTTACAATTTTCTGAGCCTAGACTCTCTCTGACATACAAATAAACATAAAGTATGTTTTGAACAGCTTTTAAATGCACTGAACTTCTAAGAATGCAACCTCCAAATAAAATAAATCAAGGGCCAATTGAGTTTTGCACTATTCATAACCTAACGAAAATTTTGGAAATCTGTCACCAACAACAATGTTCCTCATGCATGAGAGTGAAGTCATTAACCCAACTGTACTCTGCATTTGTAGCTGCCGAAGTCTACTTAGCCATAGGGGCAAGAGCCCCAAACCACTCCATAATATACTGTGGTCATGCCTGAGCATTTCCACATAGCAAGACATATTTCATTAATTTCTTCTTTATATGGCAGTTAGAGCACTACATTGACTTAAAATACAATGTGTGTAGGTAGGTTGTATTACCTCTGAATTCATTTCAGGCAAATAGATGGGGTGTAAACCGGCTATTATGGAAAGGGCACTGGGTGTGATGGAGTTGAGATCTGCTGCACTAACAAGTACTGAGAACATTATCCCCCGGTATTGTTTGCCAGAGAAGTTTTACAAATAAGAAACTTAAAGCTTAACTGAGTGGGATTTGGGGGAGGCTATGTGTAAAACTAGAAAAATAATTGCCATGGCAAGAAAACAGACAATCTATATTTGGAATTACAGATAACTTTAAAATCAAAATAAAACAAAATAAAAAAATAAAATTAAAAAATCCTCTCCATGCTAAGCATTTTTTAACTTCCAGCCTTGTGATTTCACAGAATAGTGTATGATGTAATAAACTGTATTATTATTTTACTGTAATGTGAACTGGAACCTTTCAATGGAGGTTAAAAGAAAAATCAAGGGTTTACTTTTTAAAAAAATATAAGATGGTTGGGAGAGGCAACTATTAAAACAAACAGTAGTTGCAATTATGCAACTGAATGTACCTCATGTGTAATGAATAATAATATTTCATAAAGGATAACATTTGCAATACTACTTTATCTCAACGTTTTCTCTGAGAACTGAAATCTGAACAGGATGAATATGGATATTGATCATTTCTATCATCTTTTCTTACTGTTAAGCTTTTAGACACCATATCTGAGACACTGTACAAGGAGACGTAATTGATTTAAATTATCTGACATGATTGTTAAATACCAGTTAAATCTAGACTGAGACACTTTATATAAGGGATTATTTTGGTACATTAAAAGGCACCAAAGATCATAGTCTCTTTTGCACCATTTTCTATATAAGATGCAAAAATTATTTTTTAAGTCACGCTTATTACCTTTTTCTAAAGTATAGTCAAGAACAATTAAGTTTTTTTGAGGATTTCCATGTTAAACAAGAATAGTAGTTTTGCTGCTTAGAGCAAAACCCATTTTATATGGGAGTCTAAGCATTTATAAAGATAAAAATTATGCTTCCAGAACATTCTGAATGACCACTGAGTTTTCTGTTAATTACAAAGAGAAGTATGTGTATAAAAAATTTATTAGTAATGCTGTCTCGATTTCATGCCTTCTATAAGGGTTCACCGTTTGCTTTGTCAAGTTTAACAGGGCTTTATGCATCTAGATTTTTAATACTATTTAATATTAGCTAAAGTTATTATTTAAAGATCTTCATTATGCCAGGTTTAGAAGCAAAGACCTTCAGATATAATTTTTAGAAAATACTGATCTTCCTACAGATGCAAAATGCAATCTGAAATGGGGAAACCAAATAAGGTCTACAGTGTGGTGAAGAATAACGTACCAACATCAGTTTCCAGGTTCTGATAGTACACTGCACCTACATGTCACCAGTGGGGAAGGTGAGGGAAGAGTTCACGGAATTCTTCGCAATATTTTTGCAACTTCCTATGAGTCTTATTTTTTTTTGAATAAAATGTTAACATCAAAAGGTAACCCTAATATTTGGAAATAGGTACATTCTAGCATGACATTCACATTTTAAATGTCTCCCTGAAAGTTTAAACATACCATTCTTCATTTAAATGGGCAAGTTAAAAAAAAATACAGCTTTGTCTTTTCAACTCAATAATCTAAGCCATCTTCTTGAATGACTTCTTGAATGGAAACTACATTTATACCTAATTTTCATATTTTTGACAAATAAATATTGTTCAGAATAAGAATAGACAGAGAAGTTTCCTTGTAATACCCAATTTTCCTGAAATACATTAGGAAATTGAGAAAACGTATTTTACCATGTGGGTTTTTTTCCCAACATACTAGTGTATTTAATAAATACAGTATGGGAGATATTTGAGTAGCCTCCATCAGTTATTAGCTGATCTTCAGATAGATCACTCCATGGGCAAAACAGTGCACTCTGCTTTAGGGGGTCCTTTGGGGAGAACGGGGAGATGGCCTCCTTGCATACATGTTAAGAGGTTCTGAAGGTTATATTTATGGGTGATTCTCAACCCTCAAGTCAAAACTACCCAAAGGTACCTTCTCAATTCCCTTTTCTCTTCAGCTTCAAAATTCCTGGATGGACACTCCAGGAATTTTCAGTGTTCTGAAAGTGCTTTAGAGTTACACCTATTCTGCCATCCCTTAGATAAAATATTACTTAAAAATATTAACTATTCTGTCTTATACATATTTGGAGGGTCCAGTTAGCTTAAAAAAAGTTTATCTTGAAACAAGGTAGAGGGAAAAAATGATGTTGAGTACTCCGCTCCAAAGTCAACAGAAGGTCAATGATTTTCTTCACTCTCATTTGTAAACCTAGAACCAAATATTTAATCATTTCACTGGCAAAATAAACAGAACTGAAAATATCAGTTCTCCTGTATGTGAGGTCTGATTTAACAGCACACCAGGAATTACTCTTACGTTTAATTAAAACAGAGCAGCTCCTGTGAAACAATGAATAAGACACATTCTTGAATATAACTCCTCATTTTTCTTAAACTGGCAGCTCTCTCTCATCAGGTTCAGCTATCATGAACCTCTCCATTCTCAATGGCTCTGGAAGACAAATTAATAACTCCAGATTATGTGATCTAAAACATGGAAACTTGGTTTCTCTTAGTCAATAGCAGCTGTTTGATTAATCTCATTTGCTCCTGCACATGGGGAGCAGATCAATCTAGTTCTTTTAAAGCATTAAAAAAGGACTGTTTCTCTCTCTATATTCACCTTTTGCAAATTATTTTATCCTCAGGTTACACTCTTATCCTTTGTGGAGGGCACAGATAAGGTCTGGAAATGAAGAAGTTTTGTGAAATCAAGTTGTTTTGCATCACAACGACAACTGTGTGTTTCCACGACGTGATCTAAGTTCTCATAATACCGTGATAGTGGATGCTTCATCCTTATGCTGAAAATTTCCATGGCTGTGCGTTTCAGTCACAATTTTAAACCTTTCAAAATGTAGTTGCTCCCTTTGATATGAATGTACCATGTTCTCTGATGTAGGCTCATAGGTCCAACTAACTGAAAGCCTCAATTTGTGGGAAGAAGAAAAGCGAGGCTGGGGACACAGCACAAACGGTGTTTACGCCACTGAAGTTCTTTTGAAATGGAAAGGCTCTGCATGAAGAAGCGAGCAGTTATGCCACTGCCTCGCCAATTCCAGCGAGGAGCTCATCTTCAATGTGGTGTTCAACGTAGGTGGCAAAACTGTAATTTTTCCCTTTTTTGAAACTATTTTTTCTTCTTTTATTTTTGAAATTCTCATCTAAGCGACAGTTTCTTGTACTATAGTGACTCCTGCTGGGAGAGGTAAGTTGAAGTAGCTGAAGGTCTCTTACAGATATATCGACTCCCAGCCAGTAAAAAAGATGTCCTAAACGCAGGAGATGGAGTTAAACTGTTCCCCTACCTTGGACGCAATGGCTTCTTTCATCACTAAGAACAAACCCCTAGGTTTTACAATTGAGACTGAGAAACTAGTACAGTACTTGTACAATTTTTGATCTACAGCATCACGACGTGAAGCTGCAACAATTAGATGTAAAGGGTCCATTCATGAGGAATAACATCACTTTGACCCTTTGTGTTAGCTCCTACTGCTAATCTTTCCATAAGCGTGAACTTACTTTCAATTTGAAGAAGATGAAAAAGTCTTTTGCAAAACCCCAATACTGTTTTCTGATCTATGTACCTGAATGGAGAATCGTAGTCTTACCTCGTTTTTTTCCACTACAAGCCAAGCTACTTGTAATCCTTCCAAACCTTTAAAGGGGACCTCCCTTGTTAGCATCTCCCAGAGAACCTGGAACAAAAAGAAATGGAATTTTTATTCTTGTACTTTATATTTTGGCATATTACTGAAACTTTATCTAACATTTAACTGCATCCAATTACCAGACACAACCAATCCCATCTGTGGGAACTTGGGCAAAATGTACATATTCATGCACAGAACTCCTGTCACATATTATACACATTTTTAAAAATAAAAATTTCAGTTTAGAAATCAGAACATCTAGAGCCAGATTTAAAATTTTATGAAACCAATGGGCCTAAGTGATTTAACTTCATCTTGTAAGTTATTAGAATTCTCACATATTCCCATACAAAATTAATTTTATATTTTATTAGTAAAAACTCTTTCTACCTTCAATCCTGGATAAATTTCTCCATAAAATCAATAATAACTGTGAATTCAACCACTTTTTTAGAGGTTCAATATGGTCTCATCATAGAAAGAAATAATCAAGCCTCAAATCCAAATCACTGGCTAAACCACTTACCCCACAATGGTAGTACTTGCAAAACTGTAACATTTAGATTTTGTGTTTAGGAGAAATCTCAAATGAGTTTATCTAAGGGATTCATTTTCATCCACCTACAACATAATTTGCTAATACTATATTCCAAACGTAACAAATACTTTATGTACACATATGGCTGAGTGCATGTGTGTGTGAACTCATGTGTGTGTTCATCTCTCTGCAGCCTTGAGATCAGCATGATTAATACATCTGTGTTGGCATGCCCAAGGAAAGCAAATTGATTTGGGGAAGGCTGAAAACAGCCAATGTTGTTGGTTTCACTTCAAACACTGAGTAATGGAGATTTTTACACCCAGTTACTTTCTCTATACAAATGAGCATCAAAATTGGGTCTACCAATACTTTGTGAAGTGCAAAAACAATTATTATTTTATCAATAACAATAAGAGTCACTATCGCCGCTTGATTGATTATGTTCTATGTACTGTTAAATACTTTACACATGCTATCAAGATTTATATCAATCCACTGGAAAGAGATTATTCTCATTTTATGGATGAGGAAACTAAGTCTTTTTTTTTTAAAGATTTTATTTATTTATTTTTAGAGGGGGAAGTGAGGGGGAGGAGAAAGAGAGAGAGAGACAGAGAGAGAGAGAGAGAGAGAGAGAGACAGAAACATCAAATGTGCGGTTGCGGGGGGTCACGGCCTGCAACCCGGGCATGTACCCTGACTGGGAATCGAACCTGCGACACTTTGGTTCACAGCCCGAGCTCAATCCACTGAGCTATGCCAGCCAGGGCCAGGAAACTAAGTCTTAAGGAAGTTAAATAAACTTGCCTGAAGACACTCAGTATCTAGTTGTCAAGTGGCAGACCTAGAATAAGAACTTGCTGTCTCACCCTGAAGGTCAGGGTCTTAACCCCATCTAACTCTGGAGAAGGAAAAGCTGAAGCACAAGGGAGTGTATGACATGCTACATTTTAGGTATGGGGCCATGGCAGAAACAAAGTCAGGAGCTTTGATTTAGATTTCTCTGGTTCCAAAACCAGAAACAAAAACAAGACCTTGCTGAGTAAGAATGTAGACCGAAGACACATACTGCACTCAAGCAAACCCTATAAACCGTTAACTCTATATCACTATTTCCTCAGCCAATGCTATTCGAGGCGTACATGTTATTCAAGTCATACATAACTTGTTAAATGAATTTTGGCAAATATGAAGATAATTAGCAGTAAAAGCAGGGAAATTGGCAGACACTGCTCAAGCAGGAGAAAAAAAAATTCACTGAAGCCTCTTTGGGCTTTTAATCAAGTGTGTAAGGTACTTCTTTCAAGGAGCTACTGAATAATTCCATTTGAGTAACAGAAGTGTTAGGAAAAGGTAAGGGGCATCCCAGAAGGGGACGGTTCGAGCGAACACTGTAAGTAAAGGAAGGATGAGACAGGTAAGCAATCACACCTGACACACTGCCTGCTCAGGGGAGTGGGGAGGGGCACTCAGAGGGCTGAGCAGGAAATGAAGCCCCTCAATTTGTTGCAATTACCACTCCCCTGGTGTTGGGGTTGGGGGTGGGGATGGGATATGAAGAGCAAGTAAATTAATGGACTTGACATTCTTAAGCGGAATGGGAATAGTGAATCAGCCTCAAATAAATCAAACGCACCAGACCCAAAACGTTGAGGTGAGCAGCCTTATGCTCTCTCCTCGAGGAGTGTAGCGGGCAGGCACAATATACTGTGCATGTCCACACATGAAGATCAATTGGGTTTTGTGAGGGAAAATACAAAACCAAGAGCTTAGGGGATAATACCAGAAAAAGATTTACGTCATTCTTTATTCCAAAATATGCAGTTGGAAAATGTCCAAAACCTAATAAGATCCTAGTTATATTTCTCTAAGAGTTCTAACTCTGGAAACATAAGACAGTTTCATGTTGCTCCCTCTCCATGTGTTAGAGAGCTACTACCGCTGAGGGAGCCACGCGATGGAGGCGAGCACGGTCGGTCAAGAGTGGCGTCATTAACCGCTTGGTTCTGAAGCCCAGATGAGGTCTCTAGTTTAATTCCAGTATCAGCCCATTTCCTGATTTCCTGTTATTAGTTCACCAGATTCAAGAATGTAAAAAAGTAGATGGTACGAGATAGGACAGCAGCTTTTTCTACGCTAAACCCAATGACACGTAGCACAAAGCAGTAACTCGGTTGAGGAAGTCATCTGGAGGTCTAAAAATACATTATGCCTGAAAATATCAGTTGTGGGCATGCAGGTCAAACACTGTGATCTTTCCCCCTAAAAATATTTCCAACTTGTTTCACATTGAGACATCCTCACATTTAAACCACTCACAAGGAAATTTTCTATTTTCAGTTTACGGAAGAGAAACTTGGGCAAGGCTGTGTATTTTTCCTGCCCTTTCTTCCACAAACAATGGGAAGGCACTACCTGAGCTGGGCCTGCTCTGGAACGGGGCTCGCGGACAAGTGGGGCAGTGATGCTCTCATAAGCCACTCGATTTTCAAACCTGGTTTTGGCCAAGAAATTTCTAAAAAGGTAATGCTTTCTACATTAGGACAGCTATGTTTTCCAAGAGTGTTCTCAGAAGGCTATTTCTTTCGATGATTTTTGCTTTCTTTAAGTCTTCTTTTTTTGTGGGTAATACATTAAACACTCCTAGTTTGGTCCTTTCAAGCAAAGTCATCAGAAGGAGGTAGAAAAATCTCTTGTCTTACAAAATGGATTGAGAAACAATTGCCTGCCTAGCAAAGTGTGCCAGCTTAGAAAGAAAGATCACAAGATCCACTCCTGGCACTTGCAGTCCATTTATTTTGGGGCTGGTTAGTCTTTCCATGTGTTAAGAAGCAACAGGACTAGCAAGCTGGGGAGGGCTAGAGACTTTCATAACAGTAGGGGCTAAATTCCTACAGCAAGTCTGAGAAAAATAAAAAATCAAAAGCAAAAATATACTGGGATTTCTGGGGTGGGTTCCAAAACTGACACCTTTTAAAAATGGTATTATGCATCTGTATGTGACTTCTCTGTGTGGGGTGGACAGAACAGAGTTTTAATAAATTATGGGGTGATTTATGCAAAGGGATGCTCCTACCGAGAAATGAGTCCTGGCTACTCACCTATTTTTGAAAGGACATCGAAAATTCTAAATCAAAAATTCTAAATAACCACACTGCTTTCCTAGCTAGGTATCATTTTCCAAGTTCGTACACGACACACTTCTGACCCCAGACCAGTGTGGCCCTGACCGCAGCAACAGTACTGTCCTGCTCTGTTAGGTGACACCTGCTTTTGAACATGTGATACTTTCTTGTTTTTAGTAAAAATTATGATTATTTAAACCAAAAGCCTGTGGAAAGCAGGCCTTGTAGTTTTTTTTTTTCACTAATTGGTGTTTATCTAGAACAGAATGTGAGAAAGGGTGAAAATTAAACAAAATCCTGAATTTCCACTTATAGTGGTATTAGGTTTTGTGCACTTTTCTGAGCAGAATTCTGCCTATATAGCTATGGGGTAAGAATAGCCAGCACTCTCGTCAATATAGTAAAACAGAAGCTGTTTTAAAAATAATCAGGTTCACTGAAAAGGCATTTTTTGTTTTTACCAGTTAAAAGAACACTCTAATATGGATGTAAAACTGCTGTACAAAGGCATGTGACTGGGACAAACAGGGTCTGGAGAGCAACAGCTGGTGTGGAAATGGAAGGCAACGCTGGGAACTGGCCATAAAGTTTGCGGGAGCAAGTTAAATTACGTCATCAAGCCATTCGTCAAGCATTTGTCAAACCCCTCAAAACAAAACAAAGGCAGGGTCAGTAAAGGAGTGGAAACCTAATTCGTAAGGGGAACTGTCAGGCCCGCCTACTGGAAAACAGGGCACAGTCACTCAGAAGAAAGCTTGTCACTCAGCTAAACTAAACATCTGCAGCCTCAGAAAGGCGATTCAAACTATGTTTAATGTGAGGCGTCAATGGAAACAAGTGAAAAGGGTTTTAAACTAATATAGGAAAAAATACTGTACCTCCCCAAATAGAAGTCGCCTCTCAACATCTTTTAAGGTTTACATGTGAAGAGGGATTTTCTTTTTCTTGGTTATTGCAACTAAGATTCTACTTCAGCTAAGGAAAAGCAGATGTGTGCATTTCCCACCAGAGTCCTCAGCAACTTTAAGGGTTCGGAAGAGGCACTGTGAAGTTTGTGTTCATAAATGAAGCAATGTTAAAACCAAAAGTTCGCTCTATACAAAACTCACAGTTACTGTCTTTCAGGTAATAAACTCCCGAGATCAGGAAATTCCAAGAGTTGGAGAGTATTTTAAAAACAAAAGCACTGCAGGAGAACTTGAGGAGTGCTAAAATCAACCTTAACAGTCTTAATTCATGTCAATGTGCAAAATAATTTAAAAACTTGAACCACCTAAATGTATTAAATATACAGATAGGTATTGATATATAGTTACATACATAGGCAGGGAAAGCAGTGAGAGCTGTGGTCTCCTGTGGGACCACACTGCACTGCCCTTCATCCGTGTTGCTCATCTGCTAACACCCCCGCTACACGGAGGGGTCTGCAAATTGTGGCCTGTTGCAGAATGCAAACTGGGTCTAACATTTTTATTTCGGTTTTATTTTATTTTTTCATTCTAAGATTTTTAAAGGGTTGTAAAAAACACAATAAAGACTATAAGTGGCCCTCAAAGTCTCAAATATTTACTCTCTGGTCCTTTATAGACAAATTTTGTTGGCTCCTGTTCCGCAGGATAAAATGAGACACTGGTTCCAAGAAGCAGGCAAAGTGAAATTGAAGTTACCCTAAATTGATGTCTAGCACAGTGCCTGACACAATAAATAGATTTTTGTGTAAAAATGAAGAAATAGGCAGAGTTCTGGCCAAGATAGAGGTGTAGGTAGAAATGCTTCATTGCCTCACACAACCAAAAGAAGGATAACAACCAATTTAAAAACAATAAACAACCAGAACTGCCAGAAAATCAAACTGCATTGAACTCTGACAACCAAGGGGTTAAGGAAGCATTCATCCAGACTGGTAGGAGGGGCAGAGACAAGCAGCTAGGTGGAGAGAACCTGCAGTAAGGCTGCAGGCTGCACAGGAGAGGTGGGGCTGGCTGTCCTGAAACTAAAGACTCAAAACCTCTAGCTGTAAAACCCTGTGGAGGTTGTGAAGGTGGGAGAAACTCCCAGTCTCACAAGACAGTCTGTTGGAGAAACCCACGGGATCCTAGAATATATACAAACTCACCCACCTGGGAATCAGTACCCGAAAGGGCACAATCCTCTTGTGGGAAGCAATGGGAAGTGACAGAAAGTGGGGCTAGAGTGGAGTGAGCAAGTGGCATGTCCCTTTTTTGACCCCTCCCCCACAGACAGCACCACAATGCAGCAAACAGGGTCGCCCTGCCCGGATGAATATCTAAGGCTCTGCCCCTTACAATATAACAGGTGCACAGAGACAAAGAAATATGGCCCAAATGAAAAGAACAGATCAAAACTCCAGAAAAAGAGCTAAGTGACAAGGAGATAGGCAACCTGTCAGATGTAGAGTTCAAAACACTGGTAATCAGGATTCTCACAGAAATGACTGAGTTCAGTTGCAAAATGAAAGAAGAAATGAAGGCTATACAAAGTGAAATAAGGAAAATATACAGGGAACCAATAGTGAAGGGAAAGCAATCAGGACTCAAATCAATAATCTGGAACAAAAGGAAGAAATAAACATCCAACTGGAACAGAATGAAGAAACAAGAATTCAAAAAAATGAACAGAGGCTTAGGTGACTCTGGGACAACTTTAAGCACTCCAACATCTGAATCATAGGTGCACCAGAAAGAGAAGAGGAAGAACAAGAAATTGAAAACTTACTTGAAAAAATAATGAAAGAGAACTTCTCCAACCTATCAAAGGAAATAGACTTCCAGGAAGTCCAGGAAGCCCAGAGAGTCCCAAAGAAATTGGACACAAGGAAGAACACACTAAGGCACATCATAATTAAGTTACCCAAGATTAAAGTTAAGGAGAGAATCTTAAAAGCAGCAAGAGAAGAGAGTTACCTACAAAGGAGTGCCCATAAATCAGCCGATTTCTCAAAAGAAACCTTGCAGGCAAGAAGGGGCTGGAAAGAAGTATTCAAGGTCATGAAAGGCAAGGACCTACATCCAAGATTACTCCATCCAGCAAAGCTATCATTTAGAATGGAAGGGCAGATAAAGTGCTTCCCAGATAAGGTCAAGTTAAAGGAGTTCATCATCACCAAGCCCTTATTATATGAAATGTTAAAGGGACTTATCTAAGAAATAGAAGAAGATCAAAAACTATGAAGAGAAAAATGACAACAAACTCACAACTATCAACAACTGAACCTAAAAAACAAAAACAAAAACTAAGCAAACAACTAGAACATGAACAGAATCACAGAAATGGAGATCACATGGAGTATTATCAGTGGGGAGGGGGAGGGGGAGGATGGGGGAAAGGTACAGATAATAAGAAGCATAACTGGTAGGCATAAAATAGACAGGGGGAGGTTAAGAATAGTATAGGAAACAGAGAGCCAAAGAACTTATGTGTACGGCCCATGGACATGAACTAAGGTGGGGGAATGCTGGACGGTGGAGGGGGCTACCAGGCAGAGTGCAGATAAAGGGGAGAAAAGACTGAGAAACTATAATAGCATAATCAATAAAATATACTTGAAAAAATGAAGGAACTATAGATGAGTGGGTAAAACAACTATGGTATATTTACACAATGGAATACTACTTGGCTATACAAAAAGAAAAAATTTACCCTTTGCAACAGCATGGATGGACCCAGAGAACACTATGCTAAGTGAAATAAGCCACTCAGAGAAAGACACATACCATATGATCTCACTCACATGTGGAATCTAATGAATAAACTGAACTAACAATCAAAATAGAGACAGACTCATAGACAGGGCACAGGCTGACAGTTAAGGGGGGTTTGGGGGTGTTGACAGATCAAGCAAAAAATAAAAAAAGAGGAAAAACTCATGGACACGAACAACAGTGCGGTAACTGCAGGGGCGAGGAAGGGGGTGGGTGGAGGGAGAAAGGAGTATAGGAAGGGACAAATGGTCATGCAAAAAATACACTCAAAAATAGAAATTAAAAAAAGATAAAATAAAAATTATGGCAACATGCACAAAAAATGAAGGAATATAACTTGATAAAAGAAAATAATCTCACAAAAAGTCTTAAACTGCAACAAATTCCCCCATTTTCAGACTCCGCAGCAAGTGATTTGAGGATGGTCAGAATGAAGTAACTTTTGGCTTAGGGACCAGTTTCAGAATCTAGTCTCTTCAGGAACTTACGGGTTTTTCCCACTTCCTTCAATGAGAATTTATTTGATCACTGTTTATAATGGGTTATAGCCTTCATCCTTAGAAACACACAGAACCAAGGGAAAGCAAGTATTTGGTCTGATGCTACTATTGTCTTCCAACCTTTATAATTCTAGCCTTTGTCCAAAACATGTATTTCATTCTTGAAATGCTTTTTTTCAACTGCCAACAAATTTCATCACTATATTAAATTAATTTGGTATTTATCAGATGTATTGTGATTTAGAAAAAGCTAGCCAACTGAAACAAGACTAAAACATAACTAGTGAAGCTGGCAGTTAAGTGCCCAGAAACCGTGAACTCTCAAGTGAAAGAAATGAGTTTGACAATGCTGGTCTCCTCCTGCGCCTTCAGCTGTCACCTTCATTTGAAAACAGAAGTTCAGGAGGAAGAAGCATGTTGATTTGGGCCAAAATTTGTCTGCATCTTTTCCCATTATTATAAAAACATCATTTTAAGAAGTAATAATATAAATGGAGAAAGCAATATAATTGAGAGATGAGATGTGAAGACAGGAAGTTCCAAACACTATTGTGGACTTTTTAAAGGATATACAACATTTTTAGGGATAACAAACTTATCCTCAAAAAAGGGCAACATACGAATTCTTCCACCACCAAAGAACTACCCTGCCCATCTTCCCCTCGCACCCCGCTACTTCTACCATTCCCCCCACTTCTTTCTCTCTGCTAATTCAGATATAATTTATTCCCCAATCTGAACCTCCTCCCACCTCTAGAAGCTTCTGCTCCTTAGCTGATTCATTCCTGTGGTTTCTACTCCTTGGGCATTCCCCCTACTCCTACATTACTCTATTCTGGTAACTGTGTGGCTCTGCTGTTATTCTCGATACCCTCAATTCACGTTTCAGGCAGTCAGTACTACTTTCTAAGACTTGCAGCGGATACAAACAAGGCCATGCGCTAAATGCTAAGTACATTTTCTTCTGTACTTTCCAGAAACTCACTGATCAGTTTAATGGTTGGCACTCAAAAACTTCCTGTTAATCAACAGGCTCTTTTGGCAGATCTATTAGTGGTTTTTAAATAGCTCATTACGATGAAGTCCCGTTCCAAATAACCCACACTACCACTGACACAGAGAGATGTTCTGTAGTCACACATCCACCCAGGAAAGCACTCTCCACAGGGCTGCATCAGGTCCAACACCAGTTTAGGTTCCATCTAAGTTGCCTCCTAGAAATGGCATTGGTTTCTTTCCAACACAGGACATAATAGCTTGGATGCATAAGAGTGATCCAAGGAAACGTAATTGCCAAGTGTTCTCTCTGCTGCCATGGCTCCAGGCATTTCACCAGAAACAACATCATTGTCTTAAAACTGTGTTCAGCTGTTGCATCCTGCTTCTGTAGGCTGTTTGCTTTTTGCATTTCTTTTAGCAAGCAAAAAATGAGAAATGGACTCACCACACCATAGGAATATGTGTCACAAGTTTCAGATACAGGGAGACTTTGGATAACTTCTGGAGCCATCCACGGGAAAGTTCCAACCAAGGACATGTGTGTTGTGTGGTTATGGAACCGAGAGGCACCAAAATCACAGATCTGAGAAAACAGAAATAAGTAGCAACTTTATAATTAATGACTAATAAAGGACACAGTCATAAAAAGCTACATCTGAAGTTAACAATTTTTAAAAAAAAATTAAAAGAAGCAGACCTACCTTCAATACCCCATCAGCAGCTATAACAACTAAAAAAAAGATAAAAGATAAATTATGACAATCATCTCCTTAGAGTTATACTGAAAAAAATGATGAAGTTCTATTTCTGTCTTCTATATGACATCATGACAAGTAAAATCAAAGTAGTTACTACACTGAAGATTTTGAGAAAAGGAACTGACATTAAAACAAAAACAACTAATTTCATGAGGTGCTTAAAAAGGCTTCCAAGAGATTTATTTAAATCAAATGTAGCTGCCCAGCAAAAAGACATAGATTAGTAGTAGTTAGGAGAACCAAGTTTTAGCTTGGATTCTACCACTAGACTGCCAACATGATCCTGTGGACATAGTTAGCATTATTATTTCATGGCATATGTGTTTCTTCCTCACTATTGAAGAGTAATTTTCTTGAAGGCAGTGACAATATTTATTCATTCACTTATTCATACATTCATTCACTTAACAAATATTTACTGAGCAAGGCCATGTCCTACGCTCTGTAAGAAAAAGGTGAGCAACGCTGGCATCATCTCGTCTCTGTGCTCTCGGAGTTTACAGTCTAATGGGCGAGACAATCAAACATACGTCTATAATAAAGTGGAATAAATCCCATGGTGAGAGACATGGAGATTGCCGTGGAACTAACAAGCAGGGAGATCTAAGCCTAAGGAGGTCAGAGGAAGTTCCCTGGAAGACATGATGCTTAAGCTAAGACCTGAAATCCAAACTGAGATTAACCAGAAATTGGAGAGCTGGGGGAGAAAAAGTAGTTTCCTCGGCAGAAGGAAGAGCCTTACAAAAGGTCAGCAGAGAAATTGGCACGCAATTTTGGAAGACACGAGCCAGCTCCAGAAGAGCTTTTGGGAGAAATGGAAAGTCAGTGAATGATTTTTAGCGAAGAAATGAATGGTCAAAAGAGCAGCGGGGAGAGGACATTGGAGAAGAACTGAACTAGAGGCAAAGAGATCGCTGCATGTGTCAGCTGTAGTCCAAGAGAGGAGATGAGGATGCCTGTGGTGAGGCTGTGGCAAAGGACAGGAGAGAAGTGGACCAAAGTCAAGAAACATGTGGGAGGCAGAATCAGCTGGGCCAGAAAAATTGGACATGGAGGGAGAAGGACTCAAGGATGAAATCAAATAAGGAGGTGTTACAGCATAATAGAGCTGGAGCTCTGGGGTTGAGCTGTAATTTCTTTTCGTCTAATCCCTGGCTTACACAACTGGTATTGCCACTCCCTGAGAAAGGGAATGCAAGAATTTTTTTTTAGGAAGCAGAGAGAAGATGAAAAGATCAACGTGGCCTCAACACTTTTTAGGGTCATACAAAACGTCTGTGTGGCCTTGTCCAATAAGCAGACAGCTATGTCGCTCTGAGGCTGGGGTCTGGTGGGAGTGTTACTATATATATGGGGCTTTCACGGGAGAGAGAGAATAAAAACATAAAGGGAGCGAGTTGTCAAGGGCCCTGACAACTAACAGTTTTCAGAGTTTTTTCTGTAAGCCACAGAGTGCCTTGAACATGGCAGATGATCAATACTTACTAGCTGTTACCAATAACCTTGATAAATGGAGGGAAAATAATCTTTGCATGATCTAATATATAGAAACAGGCTAAGGGTAAATGTGATACTATCTATAGGTTATAAACTATTTCAAATAAGAAATATAAATATCGTTAATACTATATTCAGTTATTTAAAAAACCCTCTACCTTTTTCTCATTATAAAAGTGCTCATTTTTAAATATCTAAGATTATGAAGATATATAACACAGGAAATAAGAGTCTTGTTATTCCTTTTCCCAGAAAAAAAACCTGTTAAAATAGGTCTATATTGTTTCAATGTGTTTGTGTTTTCCCATCAAATAACTACACAAATTGTAGTTTAAAAAAAATGGGGACAGTATCCATTGTTATTTAGTTTTCACAGTGACAGCATGAGAAAAAACCCGTAATTTAATCATTCTCCTCTCACGAAATATTTGGGATATAGAAATAAAGCAGATTAAAAGAAGAGAAGTCAAATAACTTGTTTAGATAGAAATTCTGAGCACAAACTGAAAATTTACAAAGCCATCAAACTCTAATATTTCCTACAAGGTTCTAGATGATTTAATGACTTCCTGTTAGCCAACTATACATCAAAAGTGTTTAGCTCCCAAAAGCTTATGTCTAAGAAGAGCCAAAGGATAAGTGATGACCTAGAAAAAGACAGAACGATGAGCCGGAGCCAACCGGCAGGGCCAGGCTGGTGGTACAACCTGACTACCGAGGAGTGGCAGCTGCCAACAACGTCCCTGTCTCCACCCCACAGACCCCTCGGCACTGAGTACGAGCAAGGACAGCTGGTCAATTCCCCACTCCTCTTCCTCCACTTACTGTGCCTGCCCATTCTAAGGACAGCACTATTAGTATATGCCCATTTTAACGGTAGTGATTTAAAGATTTCCTAAAAATAAATAGCTCTCTTCCTCCTGACTTAGAAGAATCACTTAGAAAGCATGTAAATAATTAAATGAGAGCATGTAATTGAACTGATAGCAAGATTCTCTTTTTAAGCAGCGGACTCCGATGTTTACTTCAGCTAGTGCTGGCTGGCAAAATAATCCCACTGCCTTTTTCCATTAACTTTCAAGTGACGTGATGGAAGGAGCATTCTGTTACCACTCCTGCTTGAAGGTAACGTCTAATCCTGCAGGTCATTTTAAAATGCCCTCTCTAAACTATACAGTATCATAAATAAAGTTTAGAAAGTACTGAAGGAGAGAAGAAAGAAAAAAAGGCTTTAATTGCCAGACTCCTAAATCTGCTGATCAGTTTTGGGCACCACTCCAGGTAATGTGACTGACATAAAAAATTTACACCAAATTAATTCAGAAGTAACAAGAACAAAACTGAAAACTGCTAGAACAGAGAACCATCTAAAAATAGGAGACCAGAAATACATGTCTGTGTGCTTTGATCTGGCAAGACCTCTTGTAGAAAATGATTCTAAAAATATAATTAAGGAGGTGTTGAAAAATTTTGCTGAAAAGTATTAAGCTCAACATTTTTAATCATAGAAAAATGTAAACAACCCAAATATCCACACTCTGGTCTATTCATACAGTGTAATACTAAGTAGCCTCTTGAAATAACATGGAGAAGTTTGATATTTATTAACAGTGGAAAGATTTTCATGGCTCCAGTGGTTAGTCAAAAAAGTAGGTCACAAAAGACATGGAAAGCATGATGCTGATTTCTATAAACAGGTTCAGGTGTTTTGTAATAAAACAGGGGAATAAAAATATTTGACTACATTACCATTTCTTGATTTGAGATCTCTGTGGATCACCTTGACCGGAGCTTCCATGTGTAAATAGTGCATTCCTTTTTATACAAGAGGGAAGAAAAGCGTATTAATGTTGCTTTTCAACATTATATCAATATTACCTTCCTATTTTAAGCATCAGTAATATCATTCATAATTTGCAAAGGGTTCAATAAAATAGAGACAAGATGTGTCTACATTAGGACAGATAAAATAGAGAGAAGATATGTCTACATAAGGAAAGTATATATGCTAAGGAAAATTTATGTACTTTAATCTCTTAGAAGCTGGAATTTGATTGTGGGTAAAGCTAGCTTCTTACAATACCTAATATGGACACCTTAATTTTTTGGAGTCTGCACGAAAATAGCACAGTTACAACTGGAAGAACTGCTCCAATGACTAAGGTATTCCACGAGCAACTGAGTTCTAAGTCGATAAGTTCTGACCGAGGTGTTCAGTTTTCATGTGGATGTCTGCAGTCACCCAGTTAGTTGCAGCTTTGCTTCTTTTCTCAGGGCGCATTCCAGTGGGACCCTGGGAGTGGAGGTGGGGTCGGGGGCAGAGAACTGGCTGGATTTATTAGCTGTGGTTGCTAAAGGATTTTATGGTCCTTGGATAGAAAAAATATATAGTAGCTACAAAATATTTTATTCTTTTTATCACAGTAAGTCTTTGAGATAATCTTTATTTACAGGCACTCTGAAATTTTCTCCAACATGTTTAGAATCTAAATCAAGTTACTTCAGTAAATTAGATTAGTAAATCAAGTTACTTTAGTAAATGCATATAAACTAGGTAGAGTTTTATTATTTTGAATAAAAAATTATGCTTTGAAAGACACACATTTCACACTTACCCTTTCAGGAATGTTTGACTTTTTTTTTGGACTTATATATTGTCTACTTTCTTAGAATAAAGAAAAAGAAATTTCCTGCTGTAAATTTCCTCTCTCTTCACTTCTCACGCTGTCTTTTCTAAATAATAAAAGAAACAGCCCCCACTCCTTCCAAATCAGACAGGCTCCTTTTTAAAATAAATTATCCATTAAAACACAATTTAACAACTAGGCTTTGGTTCTTCTTAAAGTACACAGAAAATTTCAATTTTATGAAAATTAATTGTAAAATAATCTATTATTTTCCACTATTCTGATAATTACATTTTGAAGAATCACGAAAGAACAAAGAATATAAGAAAATATAAAGTCCTGCCATATAAGGATATTCCTGAAAGGAGTCAGCTTAACAAAAGTTTAATACCTTAAATGATTTTAAACAAGATGTAATCGGGATAAAGGAAATCTTCTAAAATGAAGTTCTGCTATGAACTTCATACTATGAAGTTCATACTATGAACTGTGAAAATTCAACTACAACTTGGGTAACTTTTAATAATTTTTATGACTGAATTTCATAGTTATTTCTAGCTCTTATTGTAAGAATCAAATTCCTGAATTATGTTGTTTTTTTTCCAGGTAGAACTGGTTTAATTACTATTAGAGGAAGAGCTAGATAATTTCTATACTGGTGACAAGTAAGGATTTCAGAAAAATACTCAAGTACAAAAGCTTTTAAATATGGGCACTTTTTTCCTCATGGTAGATATTATGAGAAATAGCATAAATTATTTGTGTATAATGCACTGCATACACTTACAGAATACTCAGTGTTCATAAACACAGTAGTAATCACAATCACATAAAATTCTATTTAATTTGTTTTTATAGAGCCATCTCTAATTCTGCCTGATTTTATTGCAAACAATTAAGAAGGCTGAAAAGTACCTTCATCAGTTTTTAAGAATTCGGGGCTTTGACTGGTGTCATTTGGGAGAGATCTGGCGTCCAGGACGAGCATTTGAGGCAGGATGCAGGTTCATCTGCTCCAACTGTTCCCCTTCCCTGCTGCTGACTGACTTGCAAAATTTCAGACATACTTGCTGGACTGCCTTCCCCCACTCCTCTCTCCACCCAGAAAGAGGAGAATCTTTTTGGTTTTGTGGAGTTATTTTCTCTGCAGTGATGTTAAGCAGTGTCTAGGTCAAAATGTATGAACCAATTCTTACTTGAAATGAGTTATTCATTGTTTGATTTCTCAATATCTTGTTGCTACAGTGGCTTCAGTCCTGGTCACACTGAAGGGTACACAGCTGAATTCATAAGAGAATCAATGAAAATCAAGCCTTCCTATTTAATCTGCAAGTTCTACATACAGCTTTATCTGGGAGGGTTGAAGTTATTTCAACAGCATTGATTTCTTCTTCCTTTTATAGGTCATTTTAAATATGAAGTATTACTTGTAACTATAAACAAACAAGTCTCTTTTCTGCCCCACTCTACTTACCCTTGGCTAAACACATCAGAAGTTGACTGTCAGGTCAATTCACCAGTCACAAATACATGGTCTTATTACTTTGAAGTCCTGGACACTGTCCCACAGTCTACCCCCATTTTCTCCATTTCTATTCTTTGTCTCTGGTTCCAGTTTGCTACTTAGTCCTGTTTCTTCTCTTCATTGTCCTCCTGATACAGAGTGCCAGCAGTCTTCAGAAACCCCAGGGATGACTGAGCTCATCTGGAGCCAAGGGACTCACCCTCAGACAGGGACAATGCAGGGGAAGAGGCCGGGAGGGACGGGGTTCACGGGCTGGGGGCCCGGCAAGCTTAAGTAGAGTGTGCACAGCAGGAACCAGAGTGACTGATGTCAGCTGACTTATTTGCTGCCTGTTCATCCTAAGTGTCGGTAAGTAATAACATAGGTGTTATCGGCAGATCACCCTAAATGCAGATGTCTGTAAGGTGAGGTGCTTTCAGCCGAGGGCTGCTTGTGTACGTATTTACATGACATCAGCGTATTTCCACAACACTGCAGGCAGTTCTCAACAAAAGCACATCACTTGGCTTACGAACAGGTGGTCCCCGTGTACTACTGACACGCAGAGAAGTGGCTCTGATGTTGCATGAAAATATCTTGAAGAATGTGAAGTTTTAGGGCTGATTTGAGATGCCTGAACACAGAATTAAGTTAATTAACACAGCCAAAGCCTTAAGTGCACCATCCTAAACATAGAGCTTATTATTCTTATACGATAATGAAGTATCATCATTCAGCAGCAGCATTTAGCATGAATCTTTACAAAAAAAATTCACTTCCTTTAGTTGAAGAATTTGGCAGGTGTTGAAAGTTAAAACAGGCAAGATAATTCCCCAAAGAAAAGGCTATTACTTTTGGAATTCACTGTGTGACTTACCAGTGAAAGCAAAGTAGGAGTTGCCGTCCTTAATGAATTTTAAATATCCTTCTACTTGTTTTTTAAAGAGGTTCTCATAGAGTCTGGACTAGCAAAACGTAAAGCAGTTCGTTGCCCGAGTTATATTTGGACGCACTTGCTTTCTAGGGGTCGCTAGAGTACGAAAGTAACTATCAGTGTTCATTGTTGAGATTATGTTGTTTCCAAAGCAACTTTGACAGTTATAAATACAATTCAGAAATGTTCAGTTACGAAAATGGAAAAAAAAGATAAAAATAAATGGAATTTAAATTGCTTTAGAAAGCATTAGTTTATGCAGGAATTTGTGAGGGAAATAGAACTGGGCACCTTGTTTAGGGATTTTGTGTATTAAAATGTTTTATTTCCAAGGGTTATTTCCAAGTTTACATTCAATATAATATAAAATCTGAACTACTTGTACATGGTAGGACAAATAAATCTTTTTCAAGTGGTTACTATATTTACCATATTATTATGTATATAAAATGAAGAGAACTAATCCTACAAAAATCATGTTTTCTGGATACTGAATCTAAGTAGAAACTTGCAGAACAAAAACAGAATTATGATTTTTCTGCTTAATGTGTCGAGTAAGCTGGTCAAATTACATTGGCACAAAGTGTAAAAACGGCTGTCCTGGTTTTGTTGGAACTTGGTTTTAGGGTAAGAAATGGGTAAAAAGGAAAGAGAACAGGAACACATGAGTGGAAAGGCAATGACCTAAAATAGTATGTGTACAGTAAGTTGCAGAATTCTTGCTACGTTTGGCCTGAAGAAAGAAGAACATCTAAAAGACACAGAATAACCAATCTTGTGACTTAAGTCACCATGTCCCAGTGGGGAAATGCTCCCCACCAACTGTGCACGCATTATTATTACCTTTGGCTACATCAGTGGCCCAGGTCATAATGTGATCCATGTCCATCTCTTCACTTCTGTTACTGTTAATGTAATCATACAGTGATCCCAGGGAGGCATATTCTAGTTTTAATGGAAAGATAAACATACAATTAAAACTAAGGTGTGTTTCATAAATAAGACTTCATATTTTCATTGGGAAGATAACAGAAGACATCAAAAAAAGTGTTCCATGATGTGGTTTCTAAAAGTTAGTGTTGTCCTGGAAAGAAAACTGTCGAAAACAAGCACTAATCAAGTGAATAGTAAAACCATAGCCAAGAATAAAATCAAGAGTCATTTACATGGAACTCGGAAACACAGAGGTGTGCTGAAAGAATGTATCTGAAACAAAGGCAGGCGGCATGTAAATAGGTATCTCTTTTGATATTATTATTCTTAAGAGCTAGATAAGATTAAACACAGTCTGGAAAGTTCACGTGACAATGTAAACAAATCAACCTTGTTGTATCAGAATTTGGAATAGCCCTTAAAGCTTAGCACAAATGGCCAAGAAAATGAGGAAGTACCCTAAAAAATGGCTTTGAGGTATAAATTACATACAAGATTCATTCACAATTAGTGTACAATGTGGTGATTTTTGGTATATTTATTGAGTGAGCGGTCACAACCACTGCCCAATTTTAGGACCGTTCCATCATCCTGAAGAGCTCCCTGTGCCCTTACAGTTAATCACCACCCCGCCATCTGCTTTCTCTCTGCAACTCTGCTTTCTCCGTGCCTTTTCTAGAAAGGTCAAATAAATGGAATCATACAGTATGTGGCCTTTACGTCTGACTTCCTTCTCTTCATGTAATATTTATAAGGTTCATTTATAGAAGTATCAGCATTTCATTCTTTTTTTACTGGTGACTAATATTCCCTTGTATGGATTTACCACATTTGGTTTATTCATTACCACTTGATTGACATTTGGATTGTTCAGAGTTTCTGGCTATTATGAATAATGTTGCTATGAACATTTGTGTAAATGTCTTTGTGTGGAAATATGTTTTCATTTCTCTTAAGTAGATTCCTAGGGGTGGGATTCTGGGCCCTAAGAAAGTTTAACTTTTTAAGAAACTGTCAAGGGCTTTCTAAAGAAGCTGTACCACTTTATATTCCCGCCAGCAATTCATGGGGCATTCAGTTTCTCCACATTCTCAACACTTGGTATAGTCTGTGTTTTTGATTACAGCCATTACAGCCATTATAGTGGATCTAATTCTCGTGCTATTTCATATTTTGAATTTGTATTTTCTTACTGACTAATTCAGTTGAGCATCTTTTAATGTGTCTATTAGCTGCTTGTATATATCCACAGACAAAATGTCTATTTAAATTGCTTGCCTATTTTTAAACTGGATTGTTTAATTAACATTCAGTCCTAAGAGTTCTTTAATTATTCTGGATGCAAGTCATTTATCAGATTTATGAATTGAAAATATTTTCATTCTCTGTTATTTGTCTTTTCATTATTTTATAACTATCAAGGAGCAGAAATTCTTAATTTTGATGAAGTCAAATTTATCAACTTTTCTTTTCTGGATTGTGATTTTGATGTCATACCCAAATAGTTTTTGTCTAACCCAAAGGTATGAATATTTTCTTTTTTTCTTCTAAGAGGTTTATTTCTAGTTTTAGTTTTAGTGTTTCCTCTTACACTTGTCTACCACCCATTTTGAGTGCATTTTTGTGTGTAGTTTGAGGTGAGGGTCTAAGATAATTTTCATATGTGGATTTCTAATTCTCCCAACACAGTGTGTTGAAATGACTGTCCCTTACCCATTAAATTGTCTTGGCACTTTTATTGAAAACCAACAGATGATCAATGTAAGGATTTTTTTCTCCTAAGATCTTAATTTTGTTCCATTGAACAAAATAGGTAGGCATTGGTCTATATACCTATCTCTGTTCCAATAATGTACTATGTGGTCACTGAAGATTTATAATAAGTTTTAAAATGAGGCAGACAAGTACTCAAACTTAGCTCTTGCTTAAAACTGATTTGGTTATTGTAGGTCTTTTGCATTTCCATGTGAATTTTAGGACCAACTTGTCCATTTCTGACAAAAATTCTGCTAGGATTTTTATAGGAATTATTTAGAATTTATAAATCAATTTGGGGAGATTTGCCATCTTGACAATATCAAGTCTTTCAAATCATGAACACACCCTGTCTCTCCACTTATTGAGATATTTATTTTTCTCTTAGCGATGTGTTGTACTTTTCATGTACAAATCTTACACTTCTTTTGTTAAATTCATGCCCAACTATATTTTATTCTTTTTGATACTACTATGAATACAACAGTTTTTAATTTAATTTTTAGATTGTTCATTCCCAATAAACAGAAATACAATAGATTTTTTCACATTTATCTTGCTAAATATGTTTAAAAGTTTTAGTAGGTTTTTTTTCTTGTGGATTCCTTGGGATTTTCCACATAGAGAATCATGTCATATAAGATAGTTTTACTTTTTCCTTACCAATCTGGATGCTTTTTATTTTCTTCTTGCCTGGCTGTAATGTTGAACAGATGTGGCAAGAGCAGAACCTCACTGCCTTGTTCCTAATCTTAGGGGGGGACACATTCAAATTTTCACCATTGTGTTATTAGTTGTGTGTTTTTGTAGATGCTATTAATCAAGTTGAGGAAATTCCCTTCTATTCCTAGTCTATTCAGATTTCTTATTATAAATTGGTGTTATAGAATACCAAAAGGTCTTTTTTTTCCTTTTATTCTAATACATATTATGCTACCTTTCATTAATTGATTTCAGATGTTAAACCAACCTTGTATTTCTGGGATAAATTCCATTTAGTCATGGTGTATAATTCTCTTCATTGGTGGCTGGATTAGTTTGCTGATGATAATAACATTGTAGTTGAGGATTAGGCATCTATGTTCATAAAGGAATTACTCTATAGTTTTCTAATTATCTTTTTGTCTGGAGTTCATATCAGGCTGACACTGGCCTTTTAGAATGATTTAGTGAGTGTTCCTCCCTCTCCTATTTTCTAAAAGAGTATGGGTGGGAGAGATTGGTGTTACCACTTCTTTCTTCTGTAAATAGTTGACAGAATTCACCAGTGAAGTTATCTGGGGCTGGGCTCTTATTATGGAAACAACTGAAAATCATTAATTCAAATTTCTTTCTTTGTTATAGGTCTATTTAGACTTTGTTTCTTCTTGAATCAGTTTTGATAATTTGTATTATTTTAAAAATTTGCTCACTGCATCTAAGTTGTCTGATTTGTTGGCATAGAGTTGGTTGTAACATCCCCTCACAATCCTTTTAAATTTCTGTGGGGCCCACAGTGCTGTCCTCTCTTTCATTCCTGATTTCGGTAATTTGTGTCTTCTCTCTTTTCTCTTGGTCAGTGTAGCTAAAGGTTTGTCAGTTTTACTGATCTTTTCAAAGATCAATTTTTAATTTCACCGATTTTCTCTGTTATTTTTCTCTTTTCTGTTTTATTGTATCCTGCTCTAATCTTTATTTCCTTTCATTGGTTTTCTTTGGGTCTATTTTGTATTTTTATAGTTTCTTAAGGTGATCAATTTCAGACCTTTCTTTTTTAAATAGCTGTGTCAAGATATACATTTCCCTCTATTTGCACTGTATAATTTTTTAATATGTTGCATTTTCATTTTCTCTGTCCAAATATCTTTAAATCCATTATGATTTCTTCTTTGACTCACTAGGTATTTAGAAGTGTTTTACTGAATTTCCAAATATTTGGGGATTTTCCAGATTTCTTTCTGGTATTGATTTCTAACTTAATTCCACTGTGGTTGGAGAATATATTGTATTGTTTCAATCCTTTTCAATGTAGTAAGACTTATTTTGTGGCCTAACTTATGATATATTCTGGAGATTGTTCCATGTGCACCTGAAAAGATGTGTATTCTTGGCTGGTTGGTGTGTTCTATATATGTGAATTAGCCACAACTGGTTGAGTGTCAAGTTTTCCTTACCCTTGTAATTTTTTTTTGGTTTAGTACTAACAATTATTGAAGTGGGGCACTGAAGCCAGTTGAATTACTTATTTCTCCTTTAAATTCTGTCAGTTTTTGCTTCATGTGCTTTGAGGATTTCTGTTAGGTATACACATTTATAACTGCTATATCTTCCTGATATAGTGATCTTTTTATCAGGATATGACTCTTCTCTCTAGACAAGAGTCTATATTTTCTCCTGCCCTCAGTCCTCTATTTCTTCTTCTGTGTTAACACTCTTAAATTTGTCGTTTTCGTTCTTTGGCTGATTTTTTACTATTCTTCTTGAGTAGAATTTCTTAGTAGTAGCTCAAGGAATTATAAAATCCATCTTAATTTAGCACAATCTACTGTAGGTTACTACTCTTAATTACAGTAAAATATAGAAAATATATTTTTTAAAATCCTCACCCAAGGATATGTTTTATTGGGGTTTTTTTTTTGGGGGGGGGGGAGATACTCCCTGGGAGGCAGGGAGAGAGAGATATCAGTTGCCTCCAGTACGTACTCTGACCTGGATGGAACCTGCAACCTAGGTATGCTCCCTGACTGGTAATCAAACCCACAACATTTTGGTGTGTGGGATAACGCTCCAACCAACTTATCCACCTGGCCATGGTGACATATTTCTTTTTTTAAGTCTATTTTTTCTGAAATTAATATAGTAATTCCACTTCTCTCATGGTTATTGTTTGCATGGCATTTGTTTTTCCATCCTCTTACTTTTTAATTATTGATGTCTTTGACCCTAAGATGTGTCTCTTATAGGCAGTATAAGGTTGTTCTTGATTTTTAAAATCCAGTCTGACCATCTCTCTCCACTGGGGTGTTTGGACTCTTCACATTCGATGTAACTGACGATATGTTGGGCTACATTTGCCATCTGCTTCTACGTGTCTCCCACCCTCAGCGTCTATTCCTTCTTCGGTGTTAATATTCTTAGTTTGTTGTTTTCATTCTTTGGCTGACTTTTCACTATTCTTCTTGAGTAGAATTTCTTAGTAGTAGCTCAAGGAATTATAAAATCCATCTTAATTTAGCACAGTCTACTGTAGGTTAATATTCTTAATTACAGTAAAATACAGAAACCTTTCTCCAAATGAGTTCCATTCCCTCCTTCGCTCCTTAGCCTATTACTATAATATGTATCTATGTATGTTTCAAAGTCAACAGTGTTCTAATTATTGCCTTATACAATCTCATGTTCTTAATTATGTTAAGAAAATGAGAGCAAATATAATATGGAGCCATTTATATAACCCGTATATTTGTCATTTCCAGTACCCTTTATTTCTTCCCATAGATTTGAATGACTATCTGTTGGCATTTTTTTTCAGCCTGAAGGACTTCTTTTAGTATTTCTTGCAAGGCAGGACTGCTGGCAACAGTTCTTTCATCTTTTATCCAAGAATGTCTTTATTTTGAACTCATTTTTTAAAAGATAATTTTCCTGGATACGGTTTTTTCTTTCAGTACTTTAAATGTCTACAATACCTCCATTGTTGTAGACAAGAGCCAGTCATTAATCATATTGTCGTCCTCTTGTACATGAGAAGTTGTTTTTTTCTTGCTCCTTTCAAGAATTTTCACTTTGGCTTTATCAAGAGTTTGACCATGATGTGTCTGGGTATATGTTCTTTTGCCTTTATCCAACTTGGAATCTGTTAAGCTTCTCAAGTATGTAGATTAATGTATTTTATAAAATTCAGGAAGTATTCCTGGCCATTATTCCTTCAAATAGGTTTCTATTTTTTCATTTTAGATTTTTATACCCTTCTCCTCTTCTTTGCTATTACACACAATTGATATACTTGATGTTGTTCCATAGGTCTCAGGTTCTGTTCATTTTTCTTCAAATTTTTTTCAGATTAAATAATTTCTATTGATCTGGTATTAAGTTCACTAATTTGTTTTTCTTCTTCTATCTCAGATATGCTTTAAGTCAACTTTAGAGAATTTTAAGTTTCAATTACTTTTTCAATTCCAAAATTTTGACTAGGTCTTTTTTTAAACAAAACAACAATAATTTCTATCTATTTGATGTGACTCTTTATTAGTTGATTCATTGTTTTTATACTTTCCTTTAATTCTTTAAACAGTTTCTTTTAGTTCTCTGAACATATTTATACTTTGATATTTTTGCATGTTAAATTCAGTGTGCTCACTTAAAGAGGCAGGGTAAGTATCATCACCCCCAACCCATCTCACCTCCCAGACTTGGCTCAGTGGTTCACTACCAACTGTACACAGAGTACGGCTGGATCTTAATGCTGGAGAAGGTTGGTTGAAAAGTTCACATATTTCTTTGGCAGATACTTGTAAACAGACAACACTAACATAGTTAGGAATAAAGGCAATCTTATCAAATTAATACATTCCAAAACATCAAAACTTGGCTAAGAGGTGTCTTTAACAATCAAACTCATAGGCCAGTAAAAGAGCTATAAATACTATTTACCTTGTAAATTTACCTCGTAAATTTACTACTACCTTGTAATTCTGAAACTTGTGTGGTTTTAAAGAAATGTTTAATGTTAGGTCCTGGCTGGCGTAGCTCAGTGGATTGAGCGCGGGCTGCGAACCAAAGTGTCACAGGTTCGATTCCCAGCCAGGGTACATGCCTGGGTTGCAGGCCATAACCCACAGCAACTGCACATTGATGTTTCTCTCTCTCTCTCTATCTCCCTCCCTTCCCTCTCTAAAAATAAATAAATAAAATCTTAAAAAAAAGAGAAATGTTTAATAATAAAATTTAATGCTACTTACTAGCCTTACAGGGAAATTAAATATAGCCTTAAAAACATTAGTCACTGATAACCAAAGATTTTTGAGTAGGAATAGGTATTAGCAGAGAATATTAGAAGGGTATATGAAATAAAGGACTAGCTAGTCTATTAAAACAAACTAAATAAAATTTAAAAATACTTATCCAACTGCTTGGATTCCTTCTCCCTCTTTTGGATGAGAAGACCCAGTTTGAATAAGCTGACTAAAAAATGACTGTTTCATGTCCTCCTAGGGACTGAGTAAACTTTCAGACAAAGGATTCATACCATCACTCAAGTCTCTCTTTCTAGTCTTCATCCTCACCTCAAAAGAAACTAGAAAACTTCAATAGTCCCCTGAGTGAGTTAAAGCTGAAATCTTATCCTCAAAAGCATTAAACATACAGGGTACAATACAAAAAGCAGAGTTTCTAATCTCTTTGCAGCATCACACTTTCATCTGCTAGATAAGAATAAATTAAGTTACAAATGAGAATCAGAAGACTGGGTGCAGACATACGAGGTAAACACAACCAGTAAAAAGTAAATATAATGGACTAGGAAACAAACAGCAGTATAGGAACTGGGTCAGAGACAGGGTTTAACTTTAAACCAGAAATCTAACCTAGAAGGTTAAGCATGACATAGACCCTAACAATGTAACCCATTCTTGGGTATTCTAGTTAGTAGAAAATATATAAGCTCAAGATATAAACTGCCACATACCTCATTTCAGGTGCAGATATAAAGGTGGCTAAATGGGGATAAAATATCCACTACTTAAGAACTTAGGTAAAAATACTACTTATCAGAGTAAAAGCTTGTTAAAGTGCCTGCTACAAGAAGATGGAAATAATATAGCAATCACAATCCCTTTGAGCTTAAGAACCAGGGTAATTATAGCTTGCGTGCAAGGACAGGAACTTCGGTTCTAAAATCAACCAGGGACATTCCTACCACACTGGTTCTACCACTAACTGGGTGACCTTGGGAGAATTACTTAACTTAGAGTTTTAGGTTTTTATTTGTAAAATAGAAATTATTTTACTTATCTCATAGGTTATTGTATTAGATGAGATAATTTATAAGAAAGTATCTAATCCAATACTTTTTATTGAGGGTTTTTAGGCGAGATCGGGAGTGTTCAGGGTGATAGGGCTGTATACTATTGAGAGTTTTTACTTGTTATTTTCTAAATATAAAGACAATACAAGTTCTAACCACTATGGTAGAAGAAGACAGGGCTAATCTACTAAGGTTTTTGTTTTTTGTTTTGTTTTAATCAAAGAGCTACCATGATAAAGAACCTGATCAAAGTTATTTACTGTAAAAGTGAACACTATACTCATTATAGACCCTAAAGCTGCTGATTGGATTGTACAAACATGAGTATAAAGTATTTAAAAAACATGTCCGTGTTTTCATAGGGCAAAATTTTCTGTGTGCTCCTCTTTGGAAAGGACATTTCTACCGGTTATAAACCGCTGTTCCAAATTATGTGATAATTTAGATCAAGGTCATTACCAACCCAGATGACCAAACCTGAAAAATATTGTTCTCATGTCCGAGACCTTGAAGAAAGAATGCTCTAATGGGATTAAAATGCCTCGCAAAGAATTACAACATGAATAGCTCAAGAAATCTTAATTTGTAAAAGGTCACAGACTTACAAAAAACATCGCTCATTTCAACTAATTAAATGAAATTTTAGTTAAACGGCACCTTTAAATATTGGTATTGCAGCTGCGAGTGTATTTAAGTAGCATTTATGCAGATATAATTAGCACAATTAAACATGGGTAGAAGTGGAAACACCATTCTTAATTATATTGATATAATCAGTTTTATTAATGCTTGATAGCAACAAAAGTGACATCTGACAGTAGCACACGATTCATGACTGAACCTAATATTAAACATTTTAGCTTATTAAGGAATCTAAAGCTAGGTAATTGGGGAAAGAAAGTCAAATAATGAGTTCCTACCCGTGACGATACCATAGTTGGGAGGTTCAAGAATTACTCCATAAAACTGGATGATGTTTCTGTGACTGAGGACACTGAGTATTTCCGCCTGTATGGAAATAAAAGATAGAATTACATAAAATTTCATATTTATAAAAGTCTAATATAACAGCTTTCCTATTTAATTTTCTTTTACATATATTTGCAAAAATATATATGTGCTCAACAAGTATGTGATACTGAAAAAACTGTCTTCAGCAGCATTCTTGAAAAGCTTAAGAATTTCTATTGAAGCTTCCTGAACAGAAATGAGGTTGAAGTGGCCACAAAAGTCGTGCCTACTAGCAAGCACAACTGATGGTGGAGGAGATGGAATAAAGAGGGAGCGACCATATTTATTTACAGGAAAAGGTCTCTTCCTAATAGTCCGATGCACTTTTTTCTGCATCACATCTCTTCCTGGGAGGCTGCAGCAAGACTACATGTCTATCAGTTGGATGAGTAGTCCTGACAAAATTAAGGGAGGGGTTTTTAACTGTTGATGGAATGGATTCAGATGATATTCATTTATATTATTTATCTAATCATTCATTAAAATGTTATCTCTGGCTGTGGCCAGGTAGCTCACTTGGTTAGAACATCGTCTGCATACTCCAAGGTTGTAGGTTCGATCTCTGGTCAGGGCACATATAAGAATCAGCCAATGAATGCATAAATAAGTTGGACAACAAATTGATCTCTCTCTCTCTCTCTCTCTCTCTCTCTCTCTCTCTCTCTCTCCCCCTTCTCCCTTCCTCTCTAAAGTCAATAAAAATAAAAAATAAAAAATGATTTTCTGTTCTACTATATGCAACAGGTACTGTAACGGATATAAAGGTGGATTATTGGCTTATAGCACTGACTTGATATGGAAGCCATACTTTACATTTGGAAATGTATTAAATGCTGGAGAACTGTACTGTGGAGTGACACAGTAAAAAACAAATTGTATTTATTAAACTTAATTTTTGAAGTGAAAACACAGAGATAGTACAGTTATATCTGTTAATGTGTATAGGACATTTTGTACATCCCCTAAATCACAGTAATTAACATTTTATTATTTATAAAATATATAGCTAATCAAGAATTATAAACAATTAGATACAAAGTCATGTAAGTTAAGTATAGTAAGTGTTTAATATTTTTAAATGAAAGGCATGTTATTGACAGTAAATGAACAGGAGATCTGGAAGCCCACACCTCAGAAAGGGGATCGCGGAGAATGTCAGCAGTGAACGGAAACGGAGAAGCCCTGGTCAGTGTGCAGGGACCTGCACACTGAATTAGTGTTATTTGTTCTACTTTTGTTCACAGGTTAAGAGTTGAGATTTCATTTAAGAACACTGGGAAACTTGTTTGGAAGATGGTATAACTACATACAAAACAGAAGTTTGAGGGCTGACGTGGGTTCGACGTGGAACTGAGAGAAAAGAAAATTACCACTGATTGGATGAGACGTTTATCAAAGTGGATTGGACCATGTTTCTCTATAGGTGCTGAAGGGGGCGATCAAAATGATTCCTTGACACTCGGAGTGACTGCTGTGTGCAGAGAGAGGTTCTGTGCTCATCAAGCAACCTTCTTCTCATAGTTCAGTTTTCCAAGTAGGAAGAAAATGCATTAACTGGGCAGTATAATTATTTATCCATGTGGCAATTATATTTCTTATTAAGAAAGAGTAAATGAGCTTTGCTGTCAAAAATGGAGTGCATGTAAAGTTTGGAAATCATACCACCCCCTACCCCCCGAATTTTTAAGTGGCAGATCAACTCTTTGTGAGTGAAACATTAGACTTTTAGACCAGTATTTGTCAAAATAGGGGAATGCTGCCCTTTGGTATGTTTTTGGCATAGTCTTAGGGGTATCTAAATTCTGTGACCATTAAAAACATTTTTATCAATAAAGAGTAAATATAAGAATATTCTGAATCCTAGATGACAATTTTAAAATTCACCACGACATAGGATTTTCAGTGTTCCAGCTAGTTTTTATGTATATACTTAAGATTGCAAAGTGGTACCTTGGAGAGATGGAATTTATCTTTTCAACTATTGGTAAGCAATTCAAACAGCTCTAGAGTAGGAATATGCTAATGTCAAAATAACAATCATTATCTTGTATCCGAGTGTCCTGCTCACATTTTATTTCTTTACAGTTGTGAAAAACTACACTCTTCCAGTATAATTTGCAAAAAAAAAGGCATTTTCATGGAATAAGACTTCAGGTCCTAATTCAATAAACTAACAATCTGATTTACTATCAAGAAAACATACTATTTTAGAGTACTATTATACTAGCTTCATGGAAATAGGCTAATAATAAACAGAGGTACACTAAATACATAAGTGGCATTTGCAACTAAATTTAAGTTTAAGGGAAGTTAAGTTCTAATTCCTTTCCTTTAAAGTACTTTCACCAGTTTTATAATAAGACTTTAAGTTAATCAGCATTTTCATCCTCAGAGCAACCACTTCCCCTCAATTCAAAACTCTTTTCAACCTAATCCTAAATTTAAATGTCTTTAATTTTGTAGGGTTGCCAAAGGATCATTACATATTCTGTATTTTAAAACTTGTTTTATATTTTTAATATTCCACTGATACAGTCTATGTTATTCATGTGACAAATGTACTAAAATAAGATTGAGTTCACGTCCTTCTGTGAGAGACAGACACTGAGAACACTGCTGGTTATGACAGACTGCAAGCAGTAGTAGTTCATGGGAACCATGATCATTGGCTGGCAGGCTCCATTTATATCTTTCTTTTACCCTCACCCAACGACATATTTACTGACTCCAGAGAGAGAGGGAGAGAGAAACATAGATGTGAGAGAAATATTTATCGGTTGCCTCCAACACGAGCCCTACCCAGGAACCAAACCCACAAACTAGGCATGTGCTGACTAGGAATTGAACCTGCAACCTTTTGGTTTACGGGACAACACTCCAACCAACTAGTCACCTGGCTGGGGCTCCATTTATATAATGTATGAGGAACAGGCTTTTCCCCCTGGTTGTCAACAGCTATTAACCTCTATACAGCAGCAGGAGTGTGTGTCACAGGGCCCTCCCTTCTGCCTGTGATGTGGTACTGCCGACCCAGACAAAAGGTACAGAAGCCACAAGTATTGAATGCTCCTTCGTGCCCTGTGGCATGTGTAGTATTTAAACGCTATTCCATGGACCCTGATCTCTGAGGTCTTCACCAGTTCCAAGATTTTATGATTCCTTGAGAATATGATAGCAAAAGAAAGAAAAGTGGCTCATCCAATCAGTCAGAGGAAGCAGTCTCCTTACTGTGAAATGCATTCAAGGTCAAAGCCTCTCTCCAAAGACAGCTCTGTCTGTTAAGTATCAATATGATCCAGGGTCAGTCTATTCCCCAAAAGTTCAAGAAGATATGAAATGATCCCACATTTTTTTTAAAAAAACATAAAAGATACACTGGGAAGAAATAAAACAAAATATTAATTGTGGGTATCTCAGTGGCACTTGCTCTGGGTTGGGGGAGGTGGTGGAGGAGAAGGAGAAATGGAGGAACCAACCAGCAGAAGGCAGCAGTGGCCACCCAGATGGGGTGGGGTCAGGTGCCCAGGTTCAGCATGGAGCTGCCTAACTGAGGGGTGCCTCTGCGGGGTCTGCAGTACTGCAGAGCCTCTCCCAGGGGTAGGCAGGCAGGAAGAGACTGAGCAGGTTGATGAGCGGCAGCAGCAGGAGCCTGAGCGCGAGTACAGCTGCACCGTGCTGCTGATGGACAACAGCGAGTACACCTGCACCATCCTGTAGCATTGCTTTCTGGCACCCTGAGGTTCTGCAGTTTTACTACGGGACTTCCCGTCAAGAGGGAAGTGTAGGTAATCACGGCTCGCCTCCTCACACAGCCACAGCAAAAATTACAACTAGACTACAACACAAATTATCACCCAGAATCATCAGAAAATTGAGCTGTATGGAAGTCTGACAACCAAGGAATTAAAGAAGCCACATTCATCCAGATGGTTGGTGGGGTGGAGATGCAGAGAGATGCGTAGACACAGAGATATGTGGAGAGGTGCAGCGAGATAGAACAGGCAGTCCCACACCCATGTATGGTGGATAAAAGTCAGGAGGGATACCTCCAGAGTGAGGGATTCTAGCCCCACAGCAGACCACCCAGCCCAGGGTTCTAGCACCAGGAAAACAAGTCTCCATAACTTCTGGCTATAAAAACCAGTGGGGGTTAGGGTGGCAGAAGAAACTGTAGGATTCTCAGGAGACCCTCTTAAAGGGCCTGCAATAAACTTAGGACTTAAACGCAGATTCATTCCCTGTGAGCTTTGGCACCAGGGCTACTGCTGGAAGGGCACCAGTAGCATACGGGGAGAAACTGAAATGTCTGGTATCAGGGCAAGTGCTGGGAGACAGCTTCCTCCCAGAAAAAAAACTTCAGAGGTGAAGCAGCAGCACTGTCCCCTCTATGAGCCTCCCCCTCACCCCCGCCCCCGCCTCACACAGAGATACAGAATGGCAACATGGGTTGCCTGCCCTGGCAATTACCTAAGGCTCTGCCCCATCCAACTAACTGGTGTGCTTTTCTACAATAGGCCACACTACTACAACAGGGAGTCAAAGCAGCTCTACCTAACACACAGAAACAAACACAGGGAGGCTGCCAAACTGAGGAGACAAAGAAATATGGCCCAAATGAAAGAACAGAACAAAACTCCAGAAAAAGAACTAAACAAAATGGAGATAAGCAATCTATCAGATGCAGAGTTCAAAACACTGGTGTCAGGATGCTCCAGGAACTCACTGGGTACTTCAACAGCATAAAATAGTCCAGGCGGAAATGAAGGTTGAACTAAGTGAAATAAAGAAAAATTTATAGGAAACCAACAGTGGAGTGGATGAAGCCAAGAATCAAATAAATGATTTGGAACATAAAGAAGAAAAAAATTCAATCAGAACAGCAAGAAGAAAAAAGAATCCAAAGAAAAACAAGGATAGGATAAGGAGCCTCTAGGACATCTCCAAATGTACCAACATTTGAATCACAGGGGTGATGGAAGGAGAAGAGAAAGAGCAAG